ATAGAAACCAATGGTACAATTATATCTAAAACATAATATATTCTTCCTTTTAACCTCGTTAAGCCCGGTATACACCAATGGGGCAAGTTGGGACCTCCATAGACTTAACATTGCGTGGGACCTCGTGGGACCTTTTGGGATTTTGCCCCATGAAGTCCGTTGGACTCCATGGGACTCCGTCGGATTTTGCCCCTTCGAATCCCACGAGGTCCCAATGAGGTCCCATGAAGTCCCACGTGGGACTCGATGGGGCAAGATGGGGCAAAATCCCACGGGGTCCCATGGAGTCCCATCGAGAATGAACATGTTCATTCTTTCCATGGGGCATCGTGGGATTTTCGATCATATGACGTGTTGTGTGAAACCCGACATACACCAATGGGGCACGATGGGATTTGATGGGACTCCACGGGGCTTGATGGGAATGCATGGGGCACGATGGGGCAAAGTCATCAAGGTCCCATGGGAATTCGTGGGATTCGATGGGGCAAATTGGGATTCGATGGGGCAAGATGGGACTCGATGGGGCAAGTGGGATTTTGCCCCATTGGTGTATACCGGGCTTTAGACAATCAACATTGATTTATTTTTGAAGTTTAGCATACTTGGAAAAGATTGACATAGAAAAAAATTCATTTTTTCAAAAAAAAATTTGCCACCTGAGTGAGTCATCGATGACATCACTCAGGTTGCAAAATATTTTTGATATGCTAAAACACTGAAGTGGCACATTAGATATGGCATTTTATTATAGAAAAAGTGTGTCCTTTGTTCAATCTTTGCGTAGGTGTTAAAAAGATAATCTTTTTTTGAAATGTATGGTGGAATATTTGATGATTAAAAGATTTCAACTTTTTTTGAAAAAAGGCGGGAAATTTAAATATTTCAGAAATGAAAAGCGGACAACTTTTTTTCAAAATAACTTTTAAAGTCATGACAAATAGTAAATGAATGATAAAAAAATATTTTAACAATCCACGGGGACTCTTAACAGTTTCCCTGTATCTCCATATGTGTCCAATTGCGCTCTGTATCGTGAAACTTTAATGAGTTGGTTTGAACTACTGAGCTGTATCAGTATTCAGCAAGTAGTATCATTGTATTGCCAATATCGTCGCGGAGGAGACATATCATCGGAGGTAAATTTTATTGTACTGTTTAAAAAGGATAGGTATCGATATGGAGAACTGAATTCATCAATGTTTTTCTCCTAAACCAATCATTGAAAACATTCTGTAAAAAAACATGGTATTTTACGTAATGTTGACTGATTGACAACAATTTAATGCGAAAATTATTTAGAAATATTTTATATAACTGTTTTTGTTAACATTTTTTGTTTTTTTAGTGCAATTGTTTTTGTTCCTTTCTACCAATTCTTGAGAATGAAATAAAATGTCTTTCCGAACCTTGTTGGAACAAAATAGCATATACAACATGTTTTTAGACCTCTCAATATTAAAGTTATACAAAGGAATTTTTGGTTGATTTTAAAAAAGTATTCAAAAAATTAAAACAAAATCCCCCCAAAATAGATAAAAATCAAGAAAAAACTTTTATTTCATTAACAAGATACTTTTTTAAAATGAACCAAAATTTCCTTTGTACAATTACAATATTGAGAGACCTTAACATGTCACCTGTGTTTATATCGTTTTATTCCAATGAGGTTCGGAAAGATGTTTCATTTCACTCTGGAAACATGATACCAAGAATAAAACAAGTGTTTGATGTGTTTTTTAAAACAATATAGATGAAAGTATGTATATCTATTTCAAATTATATTGTTACCATTCAAAAGATAGGTAATAAATTGACAATTTTTAAGATTTTCAGAAATTTTTGATGACTAGTTTAAGAGAAACGTGTGTTCAAAAAATTCGCCATATCGATACCCATTCTTTAAAATCGTAGGTACGGGTTGGGATCGTCTAATTTAGGTTAGAACACAGGGCATGAGATTTAACATTTAGAAATATCATGTAATTTCGCACAATTTATCTTTTAACTTAAAACCTCAGGCAATGGCTAAATCAATCATTTTTTGTAGGAATTTTGTTTCAGGCCAGTTCTGTAAGGTATTTCTGTGAAGGTTTTAATGGAACAAGTTTGAAGAAAAACGGTGTACTCTGAAACTCACAATCATTGATTGTCCAAAGAAAGGATAGGTTTGAAATTCAAATTAACGGTTTTGCGGGGCGTTTTGGTTTCGATACTCCCCGGTCAGTTAGTACCGCGTGATTGCATGGGGTGATTTATTTTTTCCAATATGAAGAAGCTTTTAAGTTAAAAATAAACTGTGCGAAATAGTTTATATTTTTTGTAAAAATCACAACCCCACTTCTTGTTAGCTTCCCAATGCACTTAGTGTAATGGCGTGGAATAATGGAAATAGCGTCATGAATACCGGGACAATGAATCTCATTAATGGTCGAAAATCAAAATATTGACAAATTTATAACCTAAAATCCGTTGAATCCTAAGCGATTGGAGTTGTTTAGATTACTTAACGAATGATATGAAATGATGAGGATTTGAGTTTTTTCAAAGCTAATAATGGCGGCCAATGGGGGACTTTAGCAAAATATCCCGAAAATTAAACCATGAAAAGGCCGAAAGATCTCATAGATGGATTTTGATGATTTATATATCAAAACAAGCACTTTGTTGGACGTTACAAGGATCCGTTGAATCCTAAGAAAATGAATGTTTTGCTAAAAAGTTATTAAGATTTTAAATTTTGATGAAGACAGTGCTCTCCATTGAATTTTTGGACCATGAAATGCAAGGAGGATTGGCTCCCAGAGTGCACCACCGATATTCTGTCCCATATATGGGTATGTCGTAATACAAAATTCGAATTCAAACAGCCGCCATTTTGTTCACTTCAACATTTAAATCGTGAATTTTGGTCTTATTTCCAAACGAAAAATTCCAAAACTCACAAGAAACGATCGAGATATTGGTTCGAATCTTTTGAACTGTTTATTTTGAATTTATAGTCGGTTTTAATTTCAGAAAATAACGACATTTCGACGTTTTCATTGTTGGAAAATATCGAGTTTCGATCCTGGGAGCCAATCCTCCTTGATGAAATGTCGATTTACGCGCATGCGTTGTGACGTTATTTCCATTATTCTATGCCATGGCCTCTTGATGTTTGAATTTTTTATTTATATAACCTGCAATAACTTAATCCAAAATTCTTAAAGTCCGTGTCTATATGAAAATATATCTAGGCTAATCATCGGGCCGGAAATTGAAAAATCAGACCGTATATAGCTCGGTAGCCTAGGTGGGAATCCACCTAGGGTAGCCTAGGTGGGAATCCACCTAGGTGGGACAGCAGATTAAACAAAGCCGGAAATCAACACTGACTCAAGTTCAGCAGAGGACATCATAGTATAGATTCTCAAAATTACAATAGGTCATACCACGGAATATACTACACTAACTAGGCTGATATTATTCAAAAGTACTGTAGGCCCTATGTATTTTCCATATAATAAATCAAACTGGTTGCTCCGATATTCATAGTACCCTTGTGAATTTTGAATCTTTTTATCGATTCAAGATCGTTCGCTATTTAATTGGAACCGTTGCTGAATTGTGGTGTATAACCTACTGCCATTTTGTTTAAAAGTTTCTAAGGCGGAAATTTTAAATTCTTGTCGACCATTCTGTATTTTTCTATGTCCTTTTTATAGAAACAATAATGTTGTGCATTAGGGCTTTTAGAGGCGGATGTAGAGGAAGAGAAGTGCCCCATCCATTGCCAAAAGTAAGTATAATCTTCCTCATCATAGGAACCGCAGCTCGGTGTCTTTCCACTTCCAGGCCTTGGCCTAAGTTTAGGTCTAGGCTTTAGTCGAGTCTCTAAGAGAAGGCTTTGGACCTAAGTAAGGCTACTAGGCCTATAGGCTAGGCCTAGTTCTAAGCTTAGATGGCCTAGGCCTATACTTCATTAATTATTATGTCACCACCAAAGACAAGTGTTAACATATATTGTTGTGGTCTCCAACTTTTTGTTGACATTGTTCTTCAGGGACGTGGAAGCTAGACTACAGACTATGACATAGTTTTACTATACTTTTCTTAAAATTATAGTCAAAAATTATTTCTATATTCATCCTGAACAAAAATCAAAATTCTAATGATGTTAGTAAAAAATTGCTCCAAGTAAGCTTAGAGAATCCTAGATCTAGACTAAGTATGCTTCCTGGGGAGTGTAAACTGTAACCATCAATAACGGGCACCATGGTCTATGGCAAATGTAACATCAACATTCTTATTTCCAAATTATCATTTCCAAATCTTTGCATGACTGCGCAGTGGGAATGCAAAGTTTAGGAAACAACGCCTGAGTTGAATGAAGCAGCTACAATGCATCGAGTCTTGGGCTTAAATTCTTTTCACATATTGCGAAATATTTTCTCCAAAATCATCTAAAAGGAGCAAAATCACTAAAAGAACACATTTCCAATGACATTTTTTGCAAGGGTCAAGTTGGCAAGTCATCAAATCCAATGTGAGAAGTTCATTCATCACCATGACAACTGTTTAACTGGCGACCTTGCATGTGTTTTTGATATTTCACACACTGTTCACTATGTGAATACTCTGTTCTGATTGACTTGAATCGGACACACCTTGCCTTACTATGTGTGAATAAAATGTAACAGTTTCTTAGGTAATTTAAGTCCAGCATGTCTTTAAGTTTCCATGCCCCTTTATATACACAGATTCTAGTACTGACATGACAGGATGTCTACTTTAAGATTTCTGTATTAAAGATTTGTTTGGCGTGGGACGCCTTTCTTCATACTAGATTAAAGTACATATTCAAATGTTCTAAATTATGATACCTCTTTTTCAGGTGATGAAAAAGTTGCTTACTGGATCATGGGACAATGAATCACCTAAAATAAAGAGAGAAAATGCATCTTGGTCAGGTTCACAGCAAGTATTGGACAAAAACAATAGTAATGTAGCTTCCGAAGATTATATTATGGAATCAGATGAAAATTTAAGTCATGAGAAACATGGACCAGTTTGGGCATGGAATGAATGGGATCCATTAGAAGAGGTCATAGTGGGAAATGTTAATGGTGCAACTGTGCCCCCATTCACTGTTGAAGTTAAGGTAGGTTTCCATAAGTGTAGCAGATCACAAATATACATGCGTTTAGAACAACGTCAATTTTGATTCAATGTACCATTCTTATTAATCAGAGCCCCCGCTTTACCTAACACTTGAGAGAGACTGTTCCAAAGGATAGTAAAGGCTTTGGTTCAAAAAATGCAGTGCACAATAATTATCCTAAAGACCACAGCTCCTACACCCCCTTCAAAAGTTTGATAACCCTGATTCCCCATTCCATCTAATCTATTTATTCAATTCTTGTGAATTTTATACATCTGTAATACAGTACAGCCATGGGATCCTTTAATACTCTTGTTATTGCTATTTTTATTTCAGGCAAACACATATGCAAAACATTGGGAGTTCTTCAGAAAGCATGGTGGAACATCATTTCCCGAAGGCTATCTAAAGAAGGCCAATGCAGAAATTGAAGAATTTTGTAATATATTAAAACATGAAGGGGTAGAAGTCAAAAGGCCCGACAACATGGATTTTTCACAAGTTTATCAGACTCCAGATTTTGAATCATGTGGTAAGCTTATTACAAGATATTACATTTGATTAAAGCTTTTAGGGAACCAACAGTAGGAGAAGCATTACAATTAAGCATTGACCAGGTCAGTGTTTATAATATCTCCAAACAAATGGGTTTACCAGTAGTTGTTGAAGATAAGTTCATCAAGTTAAATCAATTCTAACTGGACAAAATGGTACAAGAATGGAATTCATTAATAATGATCCTACAATTAAGGGGGGGGTGTATAGAGGGTCTTGGAAATGCATATACAATATTTTTTAGCTCTCTTATACCATATACAATATTTTTATACCATATACAATATTTTTCACAGCTCTTATACCATATACAATATTTTAGGTGAAATACAATATACGATAATTTTTTTGAAACTGCTTTTGATTTAAGTTTGGATATCTATAAGGAAATAATATTATACGTATTAGGAGAGAATCCATGTACTAAAGTAAATGTAATATTATAAGGCAAATAGACTCCACATACATACCACAATGATTTCATTTATTACATTATGAATAAGACACCATTCGGGTAAATCCGCATGTTCAGAAAAGCTGTGACCACATTTTATTTTCAGGTAAACAAGTTGATTTAAAACACATCTATGATGTAAGATTCATGACTTCTCTTTAGTGATTTCACAACCTACTCTGACAAAAAAACTAACTTTAACATTTCTGCAATTTGCTACAGCCACTAGCCCATTACCTGTAAAAGTACCATAAAGATATTCAAAATTAGCACAAAACCTGCATCATTGCATTGGAATGGGTGGAACTCAGTATTCCTCTTTGTTATGACCTACGTACTTTCCCATGACTTATTTTAATGTCAATGGAATCCTTCAAAGTGAGCCAGGGAAAAAATCCTTGAAACATAATTGATGCAAAATTGAGAATGTGGAATAAAAGATTCATCATGTGTTCTATGAAAATAAAGTTTGCTGAGGAAAATATGTATCAGATAGATAATGAAGATTCACAATGCACAATAATTTTGTAAAGCAGTTACCTGGAAAATATTAAGTATTGAAAACAGTTTCAGAAATAAAGGACTTCACAAACTTCCATGTAGATAAATTTTTTTTTTTGATTGGACTCGAGTCTGGAAACTAGAGTTTGAAATAAAGGCAAGGTGAGACTTGATTGTTTAAACATTTGAAACAAGAGACACTTCGGGGTTTCAGATAAGGCAGCCTCAAAGACAGTATAAGTTAAACAAAGGTGTGTCAAAATTAAGCAAATTTCCATAAAGGTCAAACCCCATGTTTCACGAATGATTTCAAGGCAAAGATGTATTGATGAGAATGAAAACTACTCTATGTAACTAGAAATAACTTTCTTTTAAAAGACCATGGACGTTATCGCAACAGATTTCAGTCATATATTGGATTTTGGCTATTTTCTGAGGATTTGAACAGGTGCATATGTTAGGCCGATCCAGGACAAGCAGTCATAGAGATTATAAAATAATTTGGACTTTAAGACAGGGAAGGTGCATGGTGCAAACACCCCATCAACATGTTTTTTTCTGTAATGCTGTCCTGATTTCCAGCCCTTTCCACACCTGTCTTTCATTGTTTGTTGCATTGATCACTCTATTGCGTTTTGAGACATGGTTAACATCTTTAAATGAAAATATGATTCATGCAGGGGTTTTAAAGATATCAATTTTGGATGACCAAAATTAAGCTGAAAACAATGGATCACATGAGTTTTCCCTATGGGAAAATAACATGGGAAATACATGTACTGTTTTCCACTTTATCCCAAATAAATCATATTTTAGAGGTTAACTGTGTCTCAAAGTGCAACATATTGGTGCATCAAACATTGAAAAAACATATGTGGAAAGGGCTGAAAATCAGGACAACATTTCAGAAAAACCTTCCCTGTCTCAAAGTCCAAATTATTTTATTACCTCTATGAGTGCTGGAGTTAATGCATTGGCCTAACATATGCACCTGTTCAAATCCCCAATTAATAGCCGAAATCCAACATATGACAGTTTGAAGACCAAATAAACACCTTTTGCTATATTATGCTATATTAGCATTGTGATGCTTGCATTAAAACATGCGCTGTATGCACACTTTACAACTTTTTGAACACTCAAATATTTTGATGATTTTTATCCCACATACCCCGAAACACGAGTAGCCATAGTGACCATATTTTTCATCAAAGTTAAGATGAGTCAATGACAGTTGGCAGTCTCACGCCTGGTGATCTGATGAAATGAACGGAGGGGGAGTAGCTGATTTTCGGTAAATTCAACAAATGTTGAAGATTTATTTTTTCAAGAAAAAGTTAACAATTGAATGGCTAAAAAACGGAGGGGGGAGTAATATGTCTTTAAAGTGGAAGAAATTTCCACAAATTCGGGTACTTGAAAAATGACCTCACTTACTCAGTAACTTGATGTTACAACTCTGAAAAGTGAAAAATGGGGACATATGGAGTTATTGGAAGTTTTGATATGTCTTATAGACACATTACTCACTTTTTATATAACACGTATGGTAACGTGTTTTACAAAACCAATGATGACAATAGTTTTGTGATAATTACTTCACTTACAAGTATTTATTACAGGTCGTGTAGACCCCTGTTGGTTGATTTATAGCAAAAACATTGGCATTTGCACGTTGGCGATGCTGCACTTTTTTAATAGATCTTTTATTTTAGATTTCCACAGTTCAAAGAAAATCCAAGAAGACCTAACATATTCCCCTGTCCACTGCGTCTATTCATTTAGCCATTCAATTGTAAACTTTCTCTTGAAAAAATAAATCTTCAAGATTTGTTGAATTTTCTACCGAAAATCAGCTAGATCTACTCCCCCTCCATTCATTTCTTCTGATCACCGGCCGTGATTCTTATTTGAGACTATATTTAACACCTCCTGTGAAAATTTGAATGAAAAGGGCACAAAACTCTTAGTTTGAGAGGGATTTTCTCTAAACTTACAGTATTGATTGACCTGGAATGTGGAACCAATTAGAGAGACTACTTTTCCATGTTTTTCCAACACGGTTACAGTAAGAGAGTTGGCACAATGGGGATCTTTAGGGTACAATTTCTTCATAATTACCCTTCTTAATTCTAGATGCCATATACCATATATTTTCTATTATACCATATACCATATTTTTTACACCTCTTATACCATATACGATAAATTTTGCCCCCTCTTATACAATATACAATAAATTTTCAGCCTCTTATACGATATACAATATCTCTATACACCCCCCCCATTAAGTTTACCAGTGTCACCACCAGGTGGCTAATTTGGGTCAGATAACTTGAATATTCATCAGTATTAGTGGATCAATTTTCATAGTACCCCGATGTGTCTAATAGTTATACAAATGAAAATATGTCCAGTAGCTTCATTTTCTATATTTCTATTTTAAATCTTTTATCTTAAATAACTTTATGTGATATTGTACTCATCATTTATGGTGGAATAAAAGATACAATAAAAAAATCGTTTTTTTTATTTCACACCATGGGGTCTTTGGAGAATCTCCCCAACCTAGAAGCCCAGTCTAGAAATCACATTTTCAAAGAAAAATAATTTTTCAAAGTTGATCAACAATTTTTGAAACCATATCACATTTTTATATCACATTGACTGAATTTTGAATAATAAATGCTGTAAGTCAAAATTATTTCTACTCGCATCTAGTCTTACCATCATACCTTTAAATATCCTAGATACGAGTTAAAATTAATCTTGATTTACGTCATTAGTCAAACTGATGTCATATTTGGAATCTACATGTAAAATTACATCATTTATCAACTTTGAAAATTAAATTTTCTTTGAAAATGTGACTTCTAGGTCGGGGAGATTCCCCATATTTAAAAACCACAAAAAGTGAAATATCTTTTCTTGTGTTGGGCAGATAATATTTTCTCTTACTGGACATATTTTAATTTGTATAACTATTACATACATAAGGGTAATATGAAAAGTGAACCACTAAAACTGATAAATATTCAAGTTTAAAGGAATTTTGTAATACCCTGCCATGTTATTTCCCCCGAATCAGCCACCTGGTGGCGAAACTGGTAACTACCTATTCGCATCTCAGTAATTGGGACATGTTATACATTTTTACAAGTTACATGTAAGATACATCTTGAGCTGTAAAGGGATCAGAATAACACTAGAAATCACATAAAAAGCCCTTGATAGATTTACTTTATCAAATAATGATGTTACAACACTTCCATTTCCATAATAAAAGATGCAGTTTATTTGACCATATTGAATCAATTCTCTTTTTCATGAAATAATTTGCATGTACTGTAGTTGGGTTTTAATTGTTGCAGGAATGTATGCTGCGATGCCACGTGACATCCTTCTTGTAATTGGAGATGAGATAATTGAAGCCCCAATGGCCTGGAGATCCAGGTTTTTTGAATACAGGGCATACAGAAGTTTAATCAAGGAATATTTCAAAGGAGGGGCAATGTGGACAACTGCCCCAAAACCCCAAATGGCAGATGAATTGTATGATCAGGTATTTTATTAAGTTTTTCTAACCACCATTGCCTAAACCTAAAATCCTAAGCCTAAAAGACTGGAAGGTGACGTATGAGTTAGTATGTGGTCTGTGATCAGTTTCAACGTGCTTGATTTAGCAGGGTGTTGCTAACTTATTGCTGACACACAGATATCTCAGACCTTAAGCCATTTGCCAAGTTCTGCTCAAAACGTTCACATTCACACCAACGGCACTTTGATGGCGCTTTAAAGCGGCTTGTAAAGCGGCACCAAAGCGTTACAAAGCTTGTTTAAAGCGTCGGGGTCTTCTTCGATTGAGAAGAGACAGGGGTCCGCACACTCCCCAAAGATCTGACACGAGGTCAGATGCCTTTCATGAAGGACTCTCAAGCTTTCCAACGGATTGAGACGCTTTAATCAAGGATTGAAACGCTTTGTTAGGCTTTGTTACGCTTGACAAGCTTCCTCATGCTCTCTTACGCTCTTTCACGCCGGAAGAAAAACATCATGTCTTCTTCAGATAGGTCATGCTCTGGTCCATCTGGAATTTCTGGGTCTTGTTCTGCCATCGTGTTCTTGAGTCAAAGATGCAATGGTTTTATGGATCTACTGCATCTTTATATAGTCATTGGATCAAAAGTAGCATGAAATCCATACTCGTTTCCCAGTTTGATTTTCAATCATGAAAACATCATACCTTGGAAATCCAAGATGCATGAAATCGGCGATCTCAACATTTTCCAATGCGTGACAGAGCGTAACAATGCACAACAGAGCGTAACAATGCACACCAGAGCTTGGCAATCGTATCAGAGCCTGATTTAAAGCGTCATAATCGCATCAAAGCTTAATAATGCTTATCAAAGCGTGATTTCAAGCGTAACAAAGCCTGGTCGAAGCGGAATCAAAGCGTTAGGAACAGTAACAAGTCGAGAAATCAGAGCGTAAAATTACTAAGGAAATCAAAATATTTTTTTGGTTTGTCTTATTGGGGCTTTTCGACTTTAAACAAACAAACGGATTTGTGTCTCAGGAACATTTTTGTAAATAGTTATTATAAAGGGTTTGTAGAGAAAACCGGGTACCGAGTACCAGGTAGTTAATCCTCCATGCTGGGTTCAAACTTGGTACCCAGTCGAAAAAATCGGGTACCCCAAAAAAACGAAAAATACGAACATATAACATTAAAGGAGGGCGAGTTGTTTGTAGAATGAATCGGGCGATTTTTTTCATGAATTTCGCTTATGTTTTTCATCCAAAAAACATCAATACACCTTAAAACATTTTGTTTACTTTAAGATTACACCATGTAATCCAAAAATATATTTCTCATTTTCAAAGATAATCCATGGATTAACACCCAGGTATTTTTATTTTTCAATCTTCAGAGGGCTGGGAATCAATGATGCTCAACGCTTTTGAATATGATAAATGCTGTTTTAAATAGGTTTTACGTATGCCAATAATTTCTCAAATTATGTAAGCTGAATGCATTCCATAATCCCTAGAATATTCTCTTGGAGGAATCCAATGGTAATCCAATGGTAGTTCCAAGCAGATTTTTAGATGGCAGGTAAGTAAATTCTTTAGTACTCGCCTTATTGGGTTGAGTTAGTTTATATTCAAAAATTATATATGATTCTGTAAAGATGTCAGTGTGGATGCTATATGGATTGCACACGTATGGTAAGCTGTATAATCCTATATTATGTAATACAAGTACAGTTTTGATTGACATGATTGTGACTGAGTGAGAGATTAAACTCTTTAAGGTAGTTCTGCATGTTGATAATTTTTACTAATTTTGGTGATGAATAAATTATCTGATATAGAGGTGTCAAGTATTAACCGGTTAACCGGTTAACCGCCGATAATGCCTTGACCGGTCTGTGTTTTTATGGGTGGTTAGTTGACCGTGTATAATTCTGTTATTTCCCGCGCTTATTTTGCATGCTAATCCGTTTGGTTTTATGGTGTCAGTTTCACGTAAGATACTCATACATGTCATGAGTCCTATTACTCCTTACAAACATCCAATCAGCAACTTTAATCCCTGCCACATTGCTTTCCCGCGCTTACTTTGCATTTTAATCTGTTTGTTTTTCAAGCGTCAGTTTCATGTGAGCTACTCATACATGTCATAAGTCCCATAACTCCTTACAAACATCCAATCAGCAACTTTAATCCCTGCCACATTGCTTTCCCGCGCTTACTTTGCATTTTAATCTGTTTGTTTTTCAAGCGTCAGTTTCATGTGAGCTACTCATACATGTGATAGGTCCGATAATTCCTTACAAACATCAAATCAGCAACTTTAATCCCTGCCACATTGCTTTCCCGCGCTTACTTACATAGAATAGAGTAAAGCTTGACGAACGTAAAAAATAAACGCCGATATCATTTTTCCAATTTTTTTCAACTTTCAAGATCGAAAATGAAGATTTCATTTGAAATTATCAGTTCAAATTTCCCGCCGGTTAACCGACTTTAACCGGTAAAAACCACCGGTTAACCGGTTAATGCTCAAGCGGTTAATTGACACCACTAATCTGATAATTATAAATTGGTTATAAATTGCTTGACCACTGTTCACACTGTTCTTACAAATAGACAAAACCAGATAAAATGTCGTTCTATCAACCCTAATGAAAATATTTACAATTAGTGGAAACAGCTAAATATTAGATTTTGGATTTTATTGATATCCTGTCATAGCCTAAAATGTATTTTGCTGGAACATTATTTTTTCAACAATGATACAAAATTCCCTGACATTTCCCTGACACATCTACTGTTTCAAAATCCCTGACATTTTTAATTTTTGGCTCTTTTTGACCCAATTTTAAAATTCCCTGACATTTCCAGCACCTGGAAAAATAAATCAATTTCCCTGACATTTCCAGGTGTGTACGAACCCCGTCCTGATTGTTTCACTCCTTGTAGGTTTACCCTATCAGGTCTGTTGAAGACAGACATAGGCTGGCTGCCAATGGTCAATTTGTCACCACAGAGTTTGAGCCCTGCTTTGATGCGGCTGACTTTATGAGAGCTGGGAGAGATGTGTTCGTGCAACGAAGTCAGGTATGTACAAAGGGTTCCTGTACAAAGAACGTTTACAATGTTATCGCATGCTACTACCTTAATTTTAAAACACTGACATATTAATTCACATATAGGGTGTCTCAAAAAATGTACCCAAAAGTATATCAACACCATAGACAAACCAATCAATATTTTCAGACATTTTTTGCATGGTCTTGAAGATAAAAGATGAAAGTTTTTTCCCCTATACACAGTTTTTAGTTCAGTTTTGCCTTTTTGATACTTTAACCCGTTACCGTTAACATCACATATTCAATGTAACCTCATATTTCTATGACAGTCTGCATCCTTACTACTACATTGTTCATTGTAAAATATGAAACATAACAAAATGACAACAGAAACATACATGTATCAAAAGCAGTCTTTTTCATCTTTGTTTCATCAAGGGAAACCTGGAATGCACTTTCCTAAGTTTATATCTAGACTACAAATCCTCAATGGGCTATTAAATTAATGAGAAGGAATAGAGATTAGAATTTGCTCTGTGTTCATTATGTTCCTCCAGACTCCTTCTCATGAAATTTGGTTTTGTTAGTCTAATTCCACATCACCGCATTTTCTAGGTAACCAATTACATGGGAATTGAGTGGATGAGGCGCCACTTGGAGAAAAAAGGAATTAGACTCCACACATTAAGCTTCAAGGACCCAAACCCGATGCACATAGATGCCACATTTAACATCATAGGCCCAGGGATGGTGCTGTCCAACCCTGACAGACCATGTCACCAGATTGAGATGTTTAAGAATGCTGGGTGGGATGTGATCCACCCTCCTAACCCACTTATATCAGATGGTAAGTATCAGAGAGTCAACATTTGGCGATCTTGAAATCTCAAATACCAGTAAATGGATTTGGTTCAAATTTTATATGATATGATGCCTAGGGACAAAGTAGATCTGTTCAAGAAAGAATTTTCAAGATAGCGGCTGAATTTCAAAATGGCCACCATTTTTCATAAAAATCTATCTTTGATAACTCAAATACAAGTTGACAGATTTGGTTCAAATTGTATTTGCTGATGCCTAGGGACAAAGGAGCTACATGTACCCTGAAGAAAATATTTTCAAAATGGCTGCTAAATATTAAAATTGCGGCCATTTTTTGTAAAAAAACTTAATCTTTGATTATTCAAATACCAGTGAACGGATTTGGTTAAATTATTTTAAGATGTTGGAGAGGGAAAAAGAAGATTTGATTAAGAAAGAATTTTCAAAATGGCCGCCATTTTTCATAAAAATTTAATCTTTGATAACTCAAATACTAGTTGATGGATTTGGTTCAAATTTTATATGCTGATACCTAGGAGGGATAAAGGAGCTACGCTGAAGAGATTTTAAGAATGGCTGCTAATTTCCCAAATGGCAGCCTTTTTTTGTAAAAAAACGTAATCTTTGATAACTCAGATACTAGTTACACTTAAGGTTCAGCTGGAAAGTAACATTTTGGTAAAAAATTGCTATACCTGCACATGTTATTTTCTGGTACAAAATGAAGTATGAAGGCATGTGTGTATTTCCTTGCTTTTTTCAGGAAAGTATCATTACACTGTCTTCTTTTAGTAAACCTGGAAACAGGTCAATGGTAGCACCTGTGTTGTCCGGAAACTTTGAAAGAAAATTTGGAAAAAAAGAAAGTGTGAAATATCAGAATTTCCTGGAGTTCCCATTGAACTCCTACTAGATATTCTTAAAGAAGACAATGTAATGATACTTTCCTGAAAAAAGCAAGGAAATTGACAAATGCCTTCATACTTTATTTTGTACCAGAAAATAACATGTGCTGGTATAGCAATTTTTTACCAAAATGTTACTTTCCAGCTGTACCTTAAGTTACATAAACAGTATTTCGATTTTCAAAAAACAGTTAGGCCTAGGATTTGCACTTTTAACTCACACCATTTATGTAGCTAAGTGAGGAATTAAATCGACAATTCTGTTGTGTTCTGAGCTATTTTTTCGCAAACATATACATTTTCTAAAACATGATACTGATACATGTTTGTGAGAAAAAATGTGGTGGGGATTCTGCCTGCTACGTATGAAATAAGGAAAAATGAAAAATGGAACCTTCGACGTTCTGACATTTTTTTACCGAAATGGTTCCTTTCGGTAACCAGCGTAATCAAGCTGATCACCAGTGACATAGCATCGGCCATTTCCATGCATAAAAATCATTAACTTAATTAAATGGGGGGGTTTATTTGGATAAACTATTACGTACATTAAGCTTTAAGGGGATTTTTATCGCACCCTAAGGTGCTATATTGTAATCAGTTTGCCGAGCGGGCGGGCGGGCGTCCCGAATAAACTTGTCTACAGGTTTCCAGCCAAACCGTTTGAGGGATTCATTTGAAATTCTCAGGGATGTTTCTACCTATGAAAGTTAAGAACTAATTAGTTTTGCGGCATTCTGGGTAAATGTTAAGGCGGCCATTTTGGATTTTCTGTCCTTAAATCTTGTCTGTCAAGGCTTGTCTACAGGTTTCCAGCCAAACCGTTTGAGGGATTCATTTGAAATTCTCATTGATGTTTCTACCTATAGAAGTTTAGAACTGTTTAGTTTTTCGGCATTCTGGGTAAATGTTAAGGCCGCCATTTTGGATTTTCCGTCCTTAAATCTTGTCTGTCAAGGCTTGTCTACAGGTTTCCAGCCAAACCGTTTGAGGGATTCATTTGAAATTCTCATGGATGTTTCTACCTATAAAAGTTTAGAACTGATTAGTTTTTCGGCATTCTGGGTAAATGTTAAGGCGGCCATTTTGGATTTTCTGTCCTAAAATCTTGTCTGTCAAGGCTTGTCTACAGGTTTCCAGCCAAACCGTTTGAGGGATTCATTTGAAATTCTCAGGGATGTTTCTACCTATGAAAGTTTAGAACTGATTAGTTTTTCAGCATTCTGGGTAAATCTTAAGGCGGCCATTTTGGATTTTCCGTCCTAAAATCTTCTCTGTCAAGGCTTAATTGTCTACAGGTTTCAAGCCAAACCATTTGAGGGATTCATTTGAAATTCTCAGGGATGTCTCTACCTATGAAAGTTTAGAACTGATTACTTTTTCGGCCTTCTGGGTAAATGTAAAGGCGGCCATTTTGGATTTTCCGTCCTAAAATCTTGTCTGTCAAGGCTTGTCTACAGGTTTCCAGCCAAACCGTTTGAGGGATTCATTTGAAATTCTCAGGGATGTTTCTACCTAAGAAAGTTTAGAACTGATTAGTTTTTCGGCATTCTGGATAAATGTTAAGGCGGCCATTTTGGATTTTCCATCCTAAAATCTTGTCTGTCAAGGCTTGTCTACAGGTTTCCAGCCAAACCGTTTGAGGGATTCATTTGAAATTCTCATGGATGTTTGTACCTATAAAAGTTTAGAACTGATTAGTTTTTCGGCATTCTTGGTAAATGTTAAGGCGGCCATTTTGGATTTTTCGTCCTAAAATCGTGTCTGTGAAGGCTTGTCTACAGGTTTCCAGCCAAACCGTTTGAGGGATTCATTTGAAATTTTTCAGGGATGCTTCTACCTATGAAAGTTTATTCAAGGGTGCGATATTGTTCCCCGTGTGTATTTTTTATTTTAATTGTACCAATCTCCCAAATAAATGCCCATGGGTCAATAAGCAAGAAACTCAAATACTAATAATATTTATGTTTTCCTTCTAGATCATCCTCTATGGATGTCTTCTAAATGGCTGTCCATGAATGTGTTGATGCTTGATCCCAAGCGTGTCATAGTGCAAAGTACAGAGACCTCCATCCGCAAGCTCTTTGAATCCCTTGGCATTGAGTGCATTCCAGTCAACATTCTCCATGCCAATTCTCTTGGCGGGGGCTTCCATTGCTGGACTTGTGACATACGCAGAAATGGAGAGCTAGAGTCATATTTATAGTGAAATGACAATGAATATTATGTAAAAAACATTTGGTACTATTAAATTGATGGTGTTGTATTCAGCAAAACAGTAACAACTATCTAATCCAAATGTCACTGGGTATGGCTGAGTGTTCAGATAAGGCTGCTTACATGTACATGTCAAGGTTCTAACATTTTCCAAGTTCAGAAATCTGAAGAACATTCTACAAAACTTACTAGGTTCATTGACCATAAAACTTCATGTTGGTATATCAATAATGTGAAAATTAAACTGTAATTTGATTCAAATGAATGTTAGAAAAACACATTATAGGATTGAGACTGCTCCATTGATACACTTTTCTTGTCTAAAAAACCTCTCTTAAAACATTAATTCACCACCAAACATATGGCTGTAATCAAAAACCAAATGGTGACATGTTTGGTGATGACATAAAATTGAGCATAGAAGTGCTCACCTCAGTAGGTGTTTGGATTAAATAGGTGACAATGACTCATTCTTGTCAATAGAAACACCACGCAAGGCCATTTTTACAGGAGGTTCTGTGCTTCTACTTAATTTTGCATGAATCACTTTAATTAGACAAACGTGAAAACATTATTGTCCATTTAAATATTTGCCTACCATCCCAAGGAATTATCCATTACCTATGAATTTCAAGAGTAGGCCTACCATTTATGTGGCAAAATTCCAACTTCTGTGTGGAGAATTTGCAAATGACAGAGTTCCAGTTCAAAGAACCATTCTTGAACAACATTTCATTTTTATAATAATGACAATCTCAAATTCACCAAATTAAATCTTGGGCAAAATGAAGAAGAAGTACAGTTCTTTCAAGTGATTCATGTCTCATAAGAAAATGTTACTACATATACTGTTTATTGCTTTATGGCTTGGTGGCTGTTTTGATTTGGCGGATTGATCAAAACTGCCCAATCCCCAAAATTAAAGAGTGTCAATTTAAAGCCATTTACAGGACATTGATGATATAATGAATATTACAAAAATGGTCAGTAAGTTAATTGGATATTCATGTTATTTTTTAATCAATCTCACTATACCATATTGATATATTGTACAAAATAGGTGAAACAGGGTTATTTTGTTTGTGGATATTGACAATGTGTATACAACATGTTAAACATGTTAATTTTGACTTTATAAATGTAACTACAACTGCACGTGTATGAGAACAACTATTAACATGGTTTCTTTGCAGCTACTGACTCTATGCTGGCACATAACAACTGATCAACTGATTACGTAGACGGTTGTAAATTCACCAAATACTGTAAATTATTAACTCTTTCATACTCCTAGTATTAACTGTCCTATCACTAGTATTTCGCATTGAAAAAAATGTTTTATAACAATTTGATAAGTTTGAGAAGGAAGTAAAATTATTTAAAATTTATTATTAAAATAACATTATGTATATACGCATGCTTGTTGTGGCATTTTTGCCAACAGTTAAAAACACTAAATAAGATTTTACAATAAATGAATCAAAAAGATTTGATTTTACAAAATAATAGTGTTGGATCTATATTTGTTTTTTCAAGTTGAAACATATACAGGGTAATCCAGAAGTAATGTCAAAGGTGTTGCCAATTTCAATACTACTTGACTAATCATCTTGAAACTTGGTACAGATGCTCCCCAAACATTATTGAGTTAATATTTCAAAAATAAAGCTCACGATGTGACATCACCCGGGGCAAACTCAGTTTTGCAAACAAAATAAAACTTCGTGACTTGATAAACCTAAATAAATATAAATAAATATGAATATTCTTTCAATATATTTTTTATTTCTACTTTCTACAGAGAATTCTTTATTAGATCAAGGCTTTCGACTTGTATCCCCAAGTCTTTTTCAAGATTTAAAAAATATAACAGCATACATGTATGATGTCATAGAACAATGGAAGATTTTTGTAACAAAAGACCTAAACTTTACCTAGTAACCTATAAACAACATATACAGAGAGACAATAAAATGAATACAGTAGTTGTTTTAGTATATATAAAGCAGAGAGATGAACTTACATAGAACTATTTTTATTTGCCATTCGAACGTCAATGTAGTATCATATATGATGTCAACCACACTAATTTTTTTTCATATCTATTTCAAAATGTTGTTTACAATCAATGTTCATAATACACACTATTTTAGTTGATCATTTTATTTTCTGAGAAAGTGTTGAACCAAGCTCAGCATATAAGGCCATGTTTTGGGAAATTTCTGTACCAAGTTTCAAGAAGATTGGTCCAGTTGTATTGAATTGGCAACATCTTTGACGTTACTTCTGGATAATCCTGTATATTATATAACATTAATACAGAATGTGATATTACATGAGGCATCATATGTGTATTACATGAGGCATCATATGTGTTCCTATCAGGGATTTTTTTACATTAAGCATTGATTGTAAGCATTACATTACATAAGTCATCATTTATTTATCAAGGAGATATTTCAACAAAAAGCATTGACATTATTGACTTAAACAGCCATGGATTTTTACCCTGAATTCTGAAAAACCTTGAAGGTGCATTCTTTCCATATAAACAGGACAAACAGATGCCCTGATCACGACGACTGTTCCTAGAGTTCTAAAAGTGTCATCACCTTATCTTCATAGCTGAACCAAAACTGGTCCAGAAAGAAGGTATTCTGTATCTTGAGAGTTTAGACCCTCCTTACTAAGGATGGTACTGCCCACTTGATTCAGAGAAATTGTGAGGCCAAACGTGGAAACTCAAAATATGATCTAATTGCAATTCATTCGCATTCAAGTGATCCAAACGTGGCAATCTACTTGCATTGAGCCTCAGACATGGTAATCCATTTTCACTGAGATTAGGGACATATGGCAATCCGTTTCATCATGATTCAGATATATGGTTATCCATTTTCAAGTGTTATCCAATAAATTAAGGTCAGAGCTTTTTTCATCAATTAATCCATTAGTCAAACTAATATCATTTGACTCTTGAATGTGGTCACATTGACCAATCTTAGTGTCTGTAGTACCAGTGTCTTGTACATAGATCTTCCATAATGTTAGAGATTTCATGATGCTAGCAAACTGTTCAAGTTTCATCACATGACCATAACCTTTGTCAGCCTCCATATTGATGAATTCCTGAATATTGTTTTTACTACCTGGAAGTATAAATGTCATTATATAAGTAAAATGTTGCTTGAAAATTGGTTATACTCATAAATGATTCCAATAGTGTTCCAATTGGGAGGTGTTCCACTTATAGAGGTCTTCCATGTTTCATAAAATTACACAATGGCAATACAAGGATGTAGCAAATCCCATTGAACGTCATGTCAATCAGCAGATAGGTGTATGGCAGTCACATCACTTTTAGGAAAACTGCAATACTGAACTTGTGGGCTGTTTTCAAAATCTTCCTGTGAAAGCCATCAGAAACATGAAGGCAGATAACACAAACACTTGTCATATTTATTTTAATATATGAACAAAATTTCTGAAATACAAGAATGAAAACATTCAAAGTTCCACCATACTGACTCTAAATCCTCCCATAATGGCTTGGGTCTTAGGAAAAATAATGGCCTCGGGGCTTTGCCACTTGGCCATTATTTTTCTAATCCCAAGACTTATTGTTTATCCATTACTTAGTATTTAGTTCTGTACTTACATTCACTTTGTATGCAGGGGTATTCTGGAGGGGTTGCCTGCCATGTACCTTCATCCGTCAACATGTGACTCCTGTCTGAGGCAAATACTCTCAAGTAATCAACAGCAGGTATCACACGGAAAAACCTAAAATAGGTTCACAAATTAATACAACTGATAAATTTTACAGTTCAATGTGGGGAATATCAAAAAGGCCCTGGGATACGCCCTGAAAAATATTTCTCACAATATCTTAGAAATTAGGCCCAGAATTAATAAAAAATAATGCCCAGTAATATCAGTTTGTTATCTATAGGGTACTGCCCAGTTTATTTCTCTCTTGATACCCAGGGATGCCCCAGTATATGATACATGTATGAAGATATCAACAAATCATTACGACTTTACCTGTGATAGTCTGGCTTCAGATGATTGTCTGAGATGAAGGTGTTTGAGACATATTCATCAAGTGTACAAGGGTAGGGCAGTATGGTGTCAAGGTCATATACGAGACTACAGCTGGGTGATGGGTACACCAGGAACACATGGTAGTCCTGGAAAATGGAACATCCTGTTAGCATTTACAACATTATTGTTTACTCCTACAAAGATCAACTAGGTACATGAGGTAATATACCTTCACATTAAAGCAAATTGGAAAACAGCAACTTCCAAAGTAGCAGATTTCATCAAACAACACTGCCTTCTAGTAAAATCTACAGACTACCACCTACAGACCTATGACATCATAAATACAGCCAATATAATTTGATTTCGTTAGAATAACAAGAATGCAGTCTATTAATTGCCAGAGTTTTCTTGGCAAGTGGATAATTTCAATAGCAGAATAGCTCACCATGTGAACTAAAGCCACCTCTTTCATATATAATGTTGCTACAATTACATGAACTTGTTCCCTTTTCTCAAGATAGACTTTTACAGAACTTACCCAGCATACTGGTTTATTGAGAGGATCTGGACTTGCCTTTTGACACCATAGTGGAACCTATACATAACAACATAAAATATTTCAATTCATCATTTATTCTTGTTGAGTTAAGTTGCTCATAACTTTTCCATCCATCAAACTACAGTTTGGCTGTTAGTGCCAAATATGTTCATCTGACAAAAAAGGTTAAAAATTTATGTTCACATTTGAAGGTTTTGCAATAAATGTGTAAGTCAATGAGCGGTGAGAGATAATAAATTTGTGACCAAGAAAAAGTGTTTACATTTATAGGTGTTTAGATTAGAAGAGGTGTTCGGATATGCAGGTTTCACTATCAACAGATCATTGCATTCCTATTGTTGTATACACAGGAGGATTCATGTATGTTAGATGACAATTTACTGGGGAGGGGCAGTCATATTGCAACACCCTGTACATTTAGATCCAGTACACAAAATTTCATTTCATACAATTATCTCACACGAGACACCACAAGGCACATAAAAATAATATTCCAGGAACTAAAGTTATATATTCTTAATTTCCATGTACATGTACAGTTACATGAACTGCACATTTTTCGGTTTGATTTGTCATATTTCATTAAAATCTACAGTACATGATGAACTGAGGTCTAATTGTTTTGATACCTGCATGAACATAAATGTAGTTCTAGGATGTTTCCTTACCACTGGTGATCCACCAATTACGCTGGTTACCGAAACGGTTCTTTTCAGTAACAAAATGATTGTCGGAACATTGAAGCTAAGATTTTTCTTTTTTCCTGATTTCACCCATTGTAGGCAGAATTCTCACAACATTTTTAACACAAACGTGTATCAGTATCATATGTTTAAGAAAATGTACACATTTGCGAACAAATAGTTCAGAAGACAACAGAATCGTCGATTTAATTCCTAACTGAAGTAAGATTCTGCCTATACAATGCGTAAAATAAGGAAAAAAGAAATATCGAACCTTCGACGTTCCGACATTTTGTTTCCGAAACGAACCGTTTCGGTAATCAGCATAATTGAGCGGATCACCAGTGCTTACCATTCTTAGTGGATTAGATACAAACACAGCGAAACATCTTTGAATTGTATTAGTTCCACTGTTTCTGGTTATCATCTCACACATCTTCCAAACATTCTCTTCACTAAAATAATAGCAAATATCACGTCATCAAGTGGTCAGATCCCAGGGTCACATTTTGTTATAGCCACTGTACTTCTGTGACTGGCGTATGGTGCTTGCACTTACATGTACAATGCTTACACTTTCTACCCGACACTTTCTAATTCCAACAGAGCTGCATGTGAGACCCTATTTGTTGCAAGACTTATGCCTGGCACAACCGTCACCATGTTATTAAGTGTTTTTAAGTTGCGCAATGACCCTGCCATGACCGTGGTAGTGTTAACGTGAAAGCCTGGTAACCGTGACGATGCTATATTATATTGCAAGGCCTGTCTTGACTGTGCTAATATTAAAGCCTAAAATGACCGTGACAATGGTTGCAAGCCTGTCATAACAATGGTAATGTTAAAGCCTGATATTACCGTGACGATGGTTGCACGACCGTGGTAATGTTAAAGCCTTCAATGTTAAACCTAATTTGACCATGACAATAGTTGCAAGGCCTGTCACGACCATGGTAATGTTAAAGCCTGATATGACCGTGACAAAAGTTGCAAGGCCTGTCATGACCGTGGTAATGTTAAAGCCTGATATGACCGTGACAATAGTTGCAAGGCCTGTCATGGCCGTGGTAATGCTAAGGCTTGATAATGTTAAAGCCTAATGTTAAAGCCTGATATGACCGTGACAATGGTTGCAAGGCCTGTCATAACCTTAGTAATGTTAAAACCAGCTGATATGACCATGACAGTGGTTGCAAGGTCTGTCATGACCATGGTAATGTTAAAGCCTGATAATGTTAAAGCCTAATGTTAAAGCTTGATATGACCGTGATAATGGTTGCAAGGCCTGTCATGACCTTGGTAATGTTAAAGCCTGAGATGACCATGACAATGATTGCAAGGCCTGGCCGTGGTAATGTTAAAGCCTGATTATGTTAAAGCCTAATATTAAAGCCTGATATGACCGTGACAATGGTTGCAAGGCCTGTCATGGCCTTGGTAATGTTAAAGCCTGATATGACCGCGACAATGGTTATATTAAATTACCTTTAGTAGTAGCATGAGAATACCGTAATGAAAAATTTCATAGTTTATCAGGCTTTAACATTACCACGACCGTCATGACAGGCCTTACAACGATTGCCACAGTCATATAAGGCTTTAACATTACCACTGTCATGACAGGCCTTGCAATATAGTTATACCAAGTTATACGGTTATACCAGGCTTTCACGATAACACTACCACGGTCATGGCAGGATCCTTGCAAAACATGGCGATGGTTGTGCCAGGCATAAGTGTTTTTAAGTTGCACAAGGCATGGGCGTAGCGCTATACTTCTAAGTAGTACGCCACCGCGGGAACAATAATTGAGCGAAGCAAAAAACGAGCGTTTAGGGGGGGGGGAGTTTGGGGGTTCTCCCACAGGAAAATTTTGAAATTTGGTTGTACAAAAGTATTTATCTCGAGCAAATTTGCAACCATCTGGTACGCCTTTGCGTACCCAGCGTACCGGGCACTACGCCTATGCAAGGATCGTTCCATGACCGTGATAGTGTTATCAGGTTATCATGCCTCTGTCTAGTATAGACTATGTTACAGTTTAGCAGCCCCATCCACACAATTGATGCCCGCGATTACGTTAAAGATTATGACCAAATATAGAGAGTCGTCCTTATTCTGAAGACAAACTCTGATTAGCTCAGTGAGTTCAGAAATTTATTGAAAACTGAAAGAGCGAAGACAAAGCTCGATTGAAGTAAAGTCGAATGAATGCAAAGGGTAATTAGAATCTATCAGATCCTGAACATGACTGTTGACTCTTCTGTTTTCAGCTTTACATTTTAGATTAGTGGGCAAGTGTTCAGGTTCAGAGGAAGATACACGGTACATGTTTATAAGCTCTCTAAGGCTAAAAAATCAAAAAAAATTATTCCAAAAACAGACTCAATTCGGATTCTATTTGGCCTTGAGCATTCCCTATAATAACAATCATAAGTACAATCTAGATATAGAATACAATCGTGTGTGTGTGTAGAAATTAAAATGCATAGCTTACCAATAACACTTTGTATACACGCAGTTTTCATGTGATGGTAAAATATTTCCCTCTATTTCCTGGTTTGCCATTGGTTTTTAAGTTCAGGCATTTCATCCGGTGTAATTGTGTGCTGAACTGATCATATCCCGGGGAATTTCAACTTCATTCTTTGCACCTCAAGCACTGGCGGATCGGGGGGGGGGGACAATGTCCTCGCAAAATTTTTGGGCTCATAAAAACCAATTTAAAGGCTCATTTTTAAAAAATGTGAAAAAGTAAAGAAAAGAAAGTTTGCATCAAAGTCTATCAATGGTGCAGGTATAGTACTAGTATGTATTTTATTTGATGTATTCAATGATCTTTGTTATAGACTGAGCCACTTTAATAAGGTTCGGGTCAGATAATGATAGGTAGTCTGGTATAATCATGATATTATTCATAATTAATGGAATTTCTTGCAAATAGGCCCATGGGCATTTATTTGAAAGAGTGGTATAAGTGGTTAAAGGCTCACAGGCATTCTTTTCGAGGTAATCTACTCTAAATACATGTACACTGTAGTAACCTGTTAACCAGTTCAAGAACCACCCACTGAAATTAAACTATAACATTGCAGAGAATTAAGGTTTTGAAACGAAGTAGTGAAAATGGCAAAAGGTCACATGTCGTTCAATGTTCATCATAATAGTGGTTGAGTATGAAGGCTGTAATTGATATTCCTCAAAATGAACACACATTGGCTTGGAAAAGCAATTTATTCCCTGTTCATGAATGCCAATGCCCCTTGGAAAACAATTTGTTCCTCTTTATAAAGGCCCATGGGAGTTCATTTTGAGGACTTTCAAATAAATGCCCAGTGGGCCAATTAGCGAGAAACTCCAGTAAACAGTCCTACATATGTAAAGACTATAAATAGTAACCAAGAGATGTCTTTCCCATAAAGGTAATTATGGTAATCTCATGGAGTACATGTACATTTAATCAAGATCAATATTAAATATTTAATTTTGTCATTCCTGTGCACATGAACATTATAAATATACTGAATAGTATACTAGTATACTGAAGTACAATAAATCTTGCACAGCACATTTTCTACCTCTTAAGTTGAATGGATAAGCAGTTTTCCTGGAATTTTGATGACAAGGTTTATGTAGTGCCCATCTGTACAGACAGAGCATTCCAATCAGCACAAGAAGACGACAATTATCATAAAGGTGTTCCACTTCCAGTTTCATTTTATATTTAAATCAATGAGTCATGGGTAAATAATCAAAAGACATATTCATTAAAGTCATGTTTTTATAGTCATTTTTTTATTTATTTTTTTTTATTTCATAAAACATATATACAAGGCAAAGATAACAATTTACAAAAAATATGTGATATATCAATGTACAATATTTATATATATGGATGTATATAAATCAAAAATATTTTAGATAAAGTACACATATCCTTATATATTTGGATTTTGTAATTTCTCAGTAAAACATTTTAGTCTTTCTTTTAACCTTAATATTCTGTTGTTCTTTGAAATATTCAAACTTTCGATAAATTTTTTTTAATTTACACACAATCAGAGAAAGGAAACTTGTTTCTTTGTATTTTTCAAAATTGTTTGAATGGTTGACCCAATTTGAATATATCGTGTATCCTACTATTGTTATAACTGTATTTCTGAAAAAAGCTACATCTCCTTCCAACAGGTAAAAACCTAATATAAAATATTTCCAACTCAGGTTACAATTAAGAATTCTTTCAATTTTTTTCCATATATCTTTTACTAAATCACATTCTAAAACCAAGTGTTTTGGAGTTTGTATTTCTTTACATTTGTAACAATATTGACTTATTTCTCTATTCCATTTATATAATGTGTTTCCACAAGTTAAGATATTATGAAAATTTTTAAAGTTAAATTCTGCATGTTTTCTATTGAGCATATTTATGATTTTTGACTGATAAACCTTTCTATAAAATGATATGTTTTTATAGTCATAATTTATTCATTTTTAGGACAATGCAATACATTAGTACCATTCAGACAAAATATTTTCAATCTGATCATTCAAAAATACTTCTACCTGTCCACACTTTAAATTACAGTTATGCATGTAATAAGTCACCTCTCAGGTATATTGTCAACTCATTATTTTTGCATTCTCTATTTTAGACCCTCCAATTCAAAAATGTTTTGATGTCACGTCATACATAACATTTTCACATATTCCTTATTTTTATTTCCTTTTTTCTGTCCCCAATGTTCCTTATATTCTGTCCCTATAGTATGCATTACGAGATCATCAACTAAATAAGATCTGATGATTCAGTCTGAACACACCATTGATACAATGACAAAGGAGAACCACCCAGGCATGTATACTAAAAAGCATACATGCTCTATGCATGGTGCATGTACATGTAAATCATTTCATCAGTCAACATGTACACTGAAATGTATGTTATAACTCAATCCTTAGATCTCCACTAAAGACCATCTGTGATGTGAAAATCACCAGCAGTTTTCATATTCCACTCTATAAGAATGTCCATGTTTTCACAATAAACAGCAGGTCTTGGGGCATTGTCACTTGATGCACTGCAGCAAGCAGCACTCTTATGAAAGACTTGTATGATGATAGCAAATATATTCTAACCTGTCCTTTAAAGGGACAAGGTCAAACAATTCAGACTTTGGCGCAGTGCAGTTGTCTCACAACAGTTTCACTTTACTTGAACTTCTTATCTTGATCCCAGCCTCAGTTACATCTTGTGTTATATCCATTCCCAATGGTGCCCTGAAACACAAAAATATAGGGTGTCTCAAAGAATGTATCCAAAAGTCAACATTAAAGAAAACCTATCAATAATTTCAGATATTTTTTGCATGCTCATTTAGACAAAGCATGTAAGTTTTCTCCTCAATACAAAAAGTTTAGTTCAGTCTTGTCTTCATCCTCAAACCTCTTTCTCTGGTTAAAAGGAGTATTTTAAGCTAATCCCAAGCCCAAAAATGTGAACAATATCAGATTAAATGATTAGAGCTATTGCCTTGGTGAATGGAGAGATGGACAAAGGACTTCCCAGTCTATGTCACCACCTTGTTCGATCGTTAATGACAAATCTTGCATTTCATAATATTAGGATATAGCCAAGAATTTATATGGAAATGGAAATTCATAACTACTTAAAAGTCACTCTAAAATCATTTACTCAGTTATTCTATTACATAGAAATTCAGTCTTCTTGATATTTCATTCAACTTATTTACATGATACAGTATTTGTACCGAAATATTGAAGGTCAAAACACCAATCACAACTGGCCAATGCATCAAATGAATCTCAAATGCAACTTCCATCTCATCTTAGAATGAATCAACAACTTTTCAAATATTCTAACACAACTTTAGAATAGTTTGGTCTTGCATGAATCCCATGTATACACACATAGACATTAGGCCAGGAATGAGACAGTGAGACTTGATGGAAAACAATAAACATTTCTCAACTTGCAGTATGCAGAAACTTTCAAAAGGTCAGATCAAATGCTTCTAATGACAAGTGAAAGCATCAATATTGAACTGAATAGAATTAAGTACCTATGTTCTAAGTCCACCAGTTTGATTGCACTTTCATCTTCAAGAACACCACAGTTCGCGTTCAACCTCTCCATTCCATTCCTGTAACATGTACAAATTGACTGATAAAGTAATATGCATGTCGCAGAATTTCAAACTACATTTGTTATGTGGTTTCAACAAAATTGCTTTTTTCTTATTTTTGAGGGTGGGGAGGGGGATGCGATCGCATCACTACGCCAATGTACATATATATGATCAAATACATGGTAGATCTTTCAGTTATTTATCACAGCTGTTTAGAAAATAGATAAAAATACATCAATAATTTGCATGATTATATAAAGAGGATAAGTATGCACCCGGGGTATGCACTACGGTTTGATGCTTGGCTTGCCAGTGACCAGCATGATTTATATATATATATTTGGCATAATATACATTAAATGTCCAAATGTGCACTGGCTTATTTCAATGTACATGTACAGTATATTCACTCTTAAAATACTACCAGGTATTTACATGGCAGAACAGTTTAATCATATTCAAAAATACACTACAATCTTCTCCTAATAAAGCAAGGTCAAATTACAGACAATATAAATCTAAGTTTCTCACCATGCGATCATGACACCATTGTCTGTACACAGTTTGGGAGGAGGACAGACAAGTTCAAAGTTATAATGTTTGCAGACTTTCTCCAGACTTCTGCGAACAAACATATTACTTCCAACACCCCCTGATAGCACCTGTAAATTTAGATATGATCGCATACTAATTAAATAATTGTGTTACCAGATTTTATTCTTTGAAAGGTCATGGGATTTTAAATGTAAGTTTTCCAATAAGCCCTGCTCTAGTAACTGAAAGTATAATTAAAATATTTTCAACAAAACTAGACAACATGGGTTTTATTTTGATAGTACTTTAAAAAAACTGACTGGGCATTATTTGAATCAGTAATAAGCATTTGCAAAATACTGTTACACTAAAGTGTACTATTATAGAAAGCAAGAAAAATTACCACTCAAAACAGAACTTGATACGCACATGATAAACAAAGTGCATATTTTAAATTAGTTTTGATTTTAAAGATTGCGACACTTCAACCAAAATGAATGGATCATGTAATACAAAAAACTTCGACATCTTTCGATGACATTGATAAAAACTTGATAAATAAACCTTGACAGATCGAAAATATTTTTTGATCAATTATTGTATGCTTTGATGTGGTCCGTTTGAGCTGTTGTTGGTGTCAAATGAAAGATAAGGTTCTTATCAATACATTGGGCATTCTATAAAATTCAAATAAAAGTCTTTATTTTGCCCAAAAACGTTGAAAATACACAAAGTGGGCCTTTAAGACTAATTCAAAACACATCTAATTAGACTGTAACACTCATTAAATCCACATCAAATAAGATTCTAACACTCAGTCAATCCATATCTAAATAGACTCTGACACTTATTCAATCCACATCTAATTAGACTTGAAGACACAGTGAAACCTATTTTTTTTCTTCTTACCATTTGTTTTTTATCTGTAGTGATGAGTTCCTTCATGTCAGAGTATATGAGACCCCTCTGAACCCTCTGGCAGATATGCCTAGTGATGGCATACTGGAATGATGCACAGAAGTCAGCCACTCCTGGGATAACTTCAGGACCTTTTATATCTGAAGTATAAGTGTTAAGCCTACATGTTGAATAGAGGGGAAGAGTGCAAAAAGCATTGACACATAATTGAGGTGTGTCACTTAACTTCGTAGCCATTACCAAAACTAGATTCATTTAGTAAAGGCTATTACTATTTTATTATGACATCATGATTACCTATCATCTATCGTTGAAGGCCCACTTTGCGTACTTTCAACATTTTTGGGCAAAATAAAAACTTACATTTTAATTTCATAGTATGTCATAGTGCAGCCTTATCTTTCATTTGACACCAACACTAGCTCAAACGGATCACATCAAAGCTTACAATAAATTATCAAAAAATATTTTCAATCTGTCAAGCTTTATATATCAAGTTTTATAAATGTCATTGAAAGATGGCGAAGTTGTTTGTATTACATGATACATTCATTTTTATAGAAGTGTCGCCATCTTTTAAATCAAGAGTAATTTAAAACTTGCACTTTGTTTAAAATGAGCGTGCACAACTAATAATCTCTGAACTTCAAATGCTTTATTCTATGTGAGTTATTTTTTCTTGGTTCAATATTAAAGCAAATCAAACAGTGTCATTTTTGAGCGAGTGTGTCAGTAACATGTTTCAATGATTATGTTTTTCTTTTTTTCTTCTAAATTAAGTATAGTGGGCCTTTAATATGACATTATAATCAAGGAATATCAGATATAAGAAAAGCCTCTGGCAATAACACCCTGATGTACTTACCATTTTGTTTCTCAATTTCTGCTATGAAGTAGTTTGCCTGAGTTTGTAATCCTGCGAAACTGAAGTTACAGTTAGGGTGCTTTGAAAGAGAATTGGGAAACTCAATAGATTTTGGATCTCCTCTCTGTGCAAGTTGCTCAATGGCTGCACCCCCACTTAAACCTTGCATACCAGGCAATGTGATAAGCTTCAATCTCCTAGCAATCTGTAAATGAAAAATAGCTAAAGGGCTGAAGGCTGATGGGGTTTAACAGTCTAAAAGGGTTCACATTGCAAAGTATATTGGTTAGAACCCCCAAAAGATGAATGTGTGTACAACTGCATTCCTCGAATAAACTATATACTTTTAACCTAAAGAAGCGATAGCAAATTTCAAAATTAAATCAAGATAGCATAGTTATGAACAAGGCCTATTATGCAAAATAAGAATAAGTCTCTTAAATAAATATAGTGAACACCTATGGAGCAACTAAAAAGTGTTCAATGAAGGTGTATGTGTTCATGAAGATAAGTTTTTGCAAAGGGTACCTTATCAAAAGCCTCCCCAGGGGAATTGTCCTGACCTTTCCCAATCAGCTTGAATTGATCTACACCTTGTGCTGCAGCAAGGAGACAGTGCCCTCCACTAGCAAGCAACACTAAATAAGGGAAGTCAATTCTGTAAAACAAAATATAATACTCAGTGGACACATTATTGAAATGTAATCAGGATTGTTTAGATGTCCTCGTTGATACTTTGGTCTCTGCTTAGAGAGCTAATGAAAGTGCATTGTAAGCAAGGTTCATTTATCATTTCTTCAAAAAATTGTATTAATACTGTGTCAATGAACTGTGCCAATCCAACTAATATTTTTACATTTTGTCACGTTATAATCTACATCTGCTTTATATCTTTATATTCTATAGTTTGTTCAGCCTTGTTTTAATTAATTTTTGAATATTGCACAGTGTGCTGACTATTGTCATGACATCAGAGAGGCCCAGAGAGTCAATAAAATATATTTAAGAACTAAGTAATTAATCTCTACATTTTGTTTTCCAATATTTGGTTATCCAGGTGCAGGGTATATTAATTCAGACTTTTCAATTGAAGATTACAAATTCCACTCCTGGATCTACATAATACTTTTTTGTATTTGGATAAATATGCTTAGTCTTGCACTAACATTATACACAGACACAGAAGTCAACATATTCAGTTTCATATTTTTTGATGTATATAGTTAAACCTGTGTTAGGGAACACCTCTCTCTCTCTCTCTCTGGTGAACCCCTCTCTACAGTGGGCATTTCTACTTGGCAAAACCTTTTCCTCCAATTGACTCCAATGTTAAAGCACATACCTACTGTGAACACCTTCCTACGCCTAACACCAAATCTTGGAAAAATTAATAGAATTTTCCAGTGTATAGTGAACATCAAATCAGATATATATGATATCATGAAGAGTTTCTGCAATTGCATTTTTAGAGTCAAGCAGTATATGTCGCTTGCTAAATAAAATAATTCAATGACTTATGTGAGATTTTGATATCCCGTTCTGTTGAAACAGATGTGACTAATTATAATTCTTTTTCAGCTTTGTTCTGAAGAACAGGAAATGTGCTTGGTATTAATTGCTTCGTAGAAAATTTGGTTAACAATCTAGTTTCTACATATAAGGCAGCAAAAAGTTTGCAAATTCAAAGCCTGGTTGTGGTGACCACCTCCACATGCAGTTAAGCTTTTAAAAATGTTCACTATATAAAGGTTTGAGTGTATTTCATTACCTCGTTTCTATCCTAGGTGTCAGGGCATGAGCTTCCATATGGTGAATGGGGATCAAAGGCTTCCTGGAATATGTACATACACATTACATGTAGATAAGCTGCTTGTCCAATAAAGAATGAATGACAGTTTTAGGATAATTTAAATCTACTTTTTGGTTTAAACAACAAAGCATTTAGCAGTTACCTAGTATAGCAAAATTTGTGATATAGAATTATTAATTGTACAAAAACACAGAATTTTCAAATGCTGCACAAAATGACATATAGTTATTGTCTCCATCATCGTCAATTTCTCATAAAATAAACAATCGTTTTTGTTCAAAGCCAATAGCTTTTTCTATTACATCAAATTGCCTTTGTGATCGTAAAATGAACATACAGGTACCTGTAAATGAGCCTTTCCCCTCTACCATACCCCCATGCTATGGCCTCCATTTCTTTAAAAAGGATACAGGATACAGTGAAGTTGCCAATGGAGCTATAAATATACTGACAATCGAAATTTTTTATAATTACCTAAATTTCAAAGCTAAGTCTTTAGCATAGTTGATACCAACAGCAAGGGAAAGTGCCAGGCCTGGCTTCACTGTAACAGCTATAGCATTCAGCTCCTGCAATGGTATGGACATTAATGATTTACAAGTTTACTTGAATGACTCATGTTAGATACATGTACAATGTACATCACAATAAATGTTAGCACTTTCGATTTCACCGTACATTTTTTTAGTGCACACAAAGGAGATTTCAATATAGGGGAGCACATGCATCTATAGTACATGTATATCACATCTATTATTTGCTCAGAAGCAAATGGAGTTTGCTCAGAAGCAAATGGAGAAATGTTAAAACTAGTATGGTTAACAGTACGAAAGTTCAAGAAAACAAAAATGAAGAATCAAGAGTTGACTTATACCAGACTCCATTATATTAAAGAAATGGTGCTTTTTGTCTTAACCTAAGCTATTCCTGAGGCTGTGTGGGAGATTGATTGGATACAATCTTGGAAATTTAACAGCTATAACAATTTTGACACTCAATAGAATTATTGTATTAGAAAGGATCTGATAGGGTGTGACCTCTCATAATATAGCTCTAGCTAGTATCTTAGTAGTCAGTTTATTCAAAATAAAGTATCCAATACACTAACATACTTTACTGTATGTCGATCTTCATTTGATTTATTTGCAGGTACATTATCATTATCAATGGCTTGAAGCCATATTAACGTTCTTAGCACAAGTCCACAAAATGCCAGAGTCAAAGGAGGATTTAATTATTAAATGAACATGTAGTTTTCAATTGAGAAATGTTATGCTGATCAGAAAGCCTATTGGAACAATTATTTTAAATGTGGAAAGGTTTTTATCAAATTGATATTGAACAATGGCTGATGTGAAGATGCTGAAAAATGGATTTATAGTAATATTCATTGTATCAATTTTGGTTCTTTTAAAAGACATTTTCGTTGTTAAACCACAGAAAAATCAGGATATAATATTTGAAACAGGGACAACATTAGAAAATATGCACAACAGTAGCAGAACCTTTAAAAATGAAAGTCTAATAAAAGAACATTCAAATGCTGGCAAAATCCTAAATGAGACCAACATGGACCTACCTCCTACAAAGAAAGCTGATGAGACAATTATTATGGGTGACCTTCAAGAGTTTCTTACAAAGAATTCCATATTTGGGCTCATGTATCCTGAGACATTTGAACATGTACAATTTGGTGCAATCATACACCTGAACATCCCAAATTATGCAACAAACTTGAAATTTGATATTCTTACTATTTTTGAACAAACACTTCAACATAATAATGTAACCTTTATTAGATTGGGAGATACTGGAAATATTTCAGATATGGATTCTATTTTGAATAAGAGGAATACACCAGTCTTGTTTTCAATGGATAATCCCTACATTAACTTCTTTAAGGCAGGTTATTCTACCCAACCAATATATATAGCATTCCTGATGGACCCCTATGAAAGACTCCTATCATTTTACACACAAGAAATGCAGCCTGACAACATTACAAACATCTACACACAGCTTAAGGATTGTATTGAAGACAGTGATTGCAAAAAGACTTTATATGCCAGGGGATTCCAACACTACGCACATTGGTTCTGTGGATCAGATTCCCCATGTAATACCAATTGTTTTTATAGTGCAAAAGGTGCATGTAATGTTGCTAGATACTTTGGATTTGTTGGAGCAATGGAAGCATTTGATAGTGCACTGTTGATGCTCTCTGAGCTACTGAACAGATATTTCAACAATATCAAGAGAATTTACCAAGAAAATATTGATGTTAACCAGGATGAAACAGAAAAACAGACAACAAAACCAATCAAGAAATATGTTTATGAAGTCGTATTGAATTTTTTGAAACCTGATTATGAAATTTATAACTTCGTCTATGATAGAAATTCAAAATGTTTACATGCACTGGAAAGGTTATAAATGCATTGCTACAGAAAGCGGTTTCACAAATATTATCTCATGCAGTACTGTAACAAAGCCAAAGCACTCATTCAGGGGTTTCATTAGCAACAGGCAAGAGATGGTTTTCACCGGTTGTTTTCACAAAATTGCCTGTTGTTTTTAGGGACTTTTCCATGTTAAATTTATGATTTTGCCTTTTGTTTTAATTTATTTAGTCTGTTGTGAGAAATTCTAGTGAAACCCCTGTCATAGATTGCTTCAAAGTTTCGGTAAACTGTAAGTTGAGCACTGCTATACTTAGAGCACTATGAAGTCCAGTTACTCATTAATTCACTGTAAAATGAACATGATGAACCTCTGCATGGAACACATCCCAAGTGGGAAAGTATTGAGGTACCAAAAGTGTTTTACTTATACAGGTTTAGATTTTAGAAGTGCCAATTTTGACCCATTAGTTGAATGTCATACCATGATTATACCCATCTGCATGTAACATTAGCACAAAATTACCACTGATGTATAATGGACATGTACATAGGCACATGTATAATGGACATGTACATATGTATAATGGACATGTATATGTATAGGCACATGTATAATGGACATGCACACGTATAGGCACATGAATAATGGACTTCAGAGAATCTGAACTGAATGTTGAAATGTGCTTTATATTCACAGGATTCTCATTTGGCACAGTCACTTTCTCATTAAACAGGTGAAATATCTCAATTGTTTATGATGATGATTGTTTAATCACTAAAATACATATATATGAATAATTGATTTTGTTCAATGCTACAACAGCCCGCTTACACCTTGTAATGAAATAAAATGTTGTTAAGATTAAAATGATTAATTATTGAAACAATTTTTACGCCTAACACCCACCCAACAAAATAAAATCACTTTGAACATGTACATGTACAATTTGGTGTAAAACATACTACATGTATATGGTATAGTGCATTCTATTGGTAGTGAAAAAGTGTGCTTTACCTCATATTTGAGCTTTGCCCTGTCCATTGCTAATTTGACTACATCATCTATGTTTTGGCGATGGAGATCCCTGGCTACAGGAGGAATAATACCACCCAATCTAAAAAGGTAACGATTACATTTTCCATATTGAGACATTTTTGATGTGCATGCGATGCAGGGTTTCTGCAGATAATTAACAATTGCAATGATGAAACTGACATTTCCCTGACAAATCCGATAATTTTACTGGTCATATTGTGATAAACTCTTCCCATTTATAGAATCTCCATAGTCAGACACACAGATCCAATGTGTACTTGAATCTAAAAATAAGAAATCAAAAGACATTGCAAACATATGGGAAAAGAGAAAGATAGGTGCCCACCCTAATTCTTTTGTATATTCCAGATAGTTACATGTAGATATAATGTGCAGTGAAGCTGAGGCCTTTTGTAATTAAAGGAGTTTAAGCTACATGTATGTTAGCTTTGGAAGAATAACATGGTAGAAAAACATCTTAATAATAGAGGTCACACATATGAAAGCTTAATTACTGTAATGATCCGAGGGCGCCCCGGTGGATCCTTAAAGGCTGATACATGTATGGTTTACCACTTGAGCAAGAAAAACTAAGCATGTTTGTAGTAGCAACTTGCTAAGTTGCTACATGTATCTTGGGTCGTTACACTACACAAAAGAAACTAAAAAATACAAAAATTAGGGCAGATATATGTACATATATTTTTTTATTTTTACCATGTTGCAATGTGGTCTTTCAATAGCTTATTATTAGATTCAAAGTTGGTCAAGGTAATTGTAAGCAAGACTTAATTCTAGACTTGTAAAAATTCAATGCAAACAATTGAACATGCACAAATTAACATGTACATGATCTGTTTAACAAAAAATTTACTCACTGGACATGGATATCTGTTTGCGAATTCAAAGCTTCTCCAAGTATATTTCCCCCATTATCCACAACAGCTGCCCCTGTATCATCGCAACTTGTTTCAATACCAAGTATATATGTTTTACAATAAAGTGTTACACTTGTATGAATTGAGCAGTATTGTTTTAGTGATCTTTCTCCTTGCTCATTTTGAAGATGTCTCAAAAGCAGTCTTTTTCGAATACAGGTATTGAAGGTTTTACGAGATAATTGGAGTATTATATTCATTTTGTCAAGATCTTATTCACTAAATAAGTCATTCGTGAAATGGAGACAATATCTCATCCTGGACAATCTCATCTTTATTTTGAAACATCCACCTAAATTTTACACTTGCACATTTTTATATTTGGTGGGTGATAATGGATGACTATATTTCGCCGGTGATGAATAAAAAATATTTGCGGTATGAACACAATAGTAATATAGTAATATTATACAACTTTCGAATTGAGAATAAGTTAATCCACATATGATCACCTTTATGTGTCTCAAAACATTGTAGTATGACACATATTAACTAAATATTGAAATTTTCTGAAATATTTCTAATTTTGAGGGCGCAGCCATCTTCCCATGATTCATTTTTCGTGGAGAAATGGAAATGATATGTACCAAGTACAAACGCTTTTTATGAAGGAACATTTAGATATTATCGCAATACATTACAAGAAAAATTCTACTCCAGTTCTTCAATGAATTATTTTTATAGAAACCCACTTAGTCCAACCTTATTCCAGTAATTTGAATATTCTTTAGTAATCGATATTCACATTCTTACTTTGTATCCACATTTTCTGGTGCAACAGAACTGCAGCGTGGCAAAGAAAATATTAGACATTGACATATGAGGATATTTCTCTGGTCTCTGCATTCTGCAAATAATATAAAGCAGTTGCTATCAATCTCAATATCACAGAATAGACTGTTGAGTGCCTACGTAAGGGTTTGTGCGAAACAAAACAGTGCACCAGGTTGGGGAAGTAGAAGAGCAAAGAATTTGTCCAGAACAAAATTGTTTTCACTTGCAAAAATGGACCCAAAAATTGAAGAAGTATTAGCTCCCCTTAGATTGGCTGTTAAAGAACAGGTATGTATTGCGTTTTTCACAGTCATTTTCTGATAACTACATCGCAGGTAGATCTTCAAGAAGGAGTGGTAACATATTCTTTATCATTGATAAGGTAATTGTCTCGATTTTTGAAGAATCTGTGAAACAGAAAGTGAAATTGGAAGGTCATTACATGTATGATATCACATGGTTTTGATTTATATGAGAACATTTAATTACGTGTTGGACTAACATTCTTCCTGGACCCACCTCCCCTTACCTTCTTCCAAGGCCATGCCATTTATGTGTTCCGGCTTTGAGGTTTCCAGCCGCTTTGTATTCATTAAAGTCCATTTCACTGCTTCATTTCGTCAGTAGAACGGCAACAATAAGAAATTGGGAGACCATTGTGCAATAATATATGGAAAAGTATATTCATGATGTACATGAATGACATTTGTATATTTCAGATTTTTTAGTTTTTTGTGCAATAAGCCTGTGCCGTCTTGTAATTTGAAGAATTTCAGCCATGTTAATCTTATTGAAAATAACATGGCAGAGAAACATCCAAATATAAGAGGCCACACACTTTATAAGCCAAACTAGAAGCAATCCAAGATATACAAATGTCATTCATGTACATTATGAATATACTTTTCCATATATTATTGCACAATGGTCTCCCAATTTCTTATATTTGCCGTTCTACTGACGAAATGAAGCAGTGAAATGGACTCTAGTTCTCACTTGTGCTTTGCTACACAAACGGTATAAATATTTGTTCGGGTTATTTGATGATGCAATTAATATAATTAATATTCATTTACTGAACAATAATGATACATGTAGGCACTGTAATGTACTTGTAGGGTGATGCCGTGAGGAAGCTGAAAGAAGATGGCGCCACTGAGATAGACTTGAAGAAGGCAATTTCATTACTCAAAGCAAAGAAGAAAGCTCTAGAAGACAAGGTATGACATGTGTTTTCGATGTGAACTTTCTGATATGTTTTCACTTTGATATGCTTTTTTGGCTCAACACTTATCACTTGAATTCTGGATCAGGATATTCACTCATAATTACAGGTGGTAAAACTGAGAAAACAAAGATATATTTTTTGCATAACTAGTCTTGCACCCAAGTTGTTTGAATTCCCCTGCATTCTCACTTTGGAAGAGAAGGGAAGCATATAGGGAGAGGGCTGAGTTTTGAAGCAAACTGAATTCAATATAAACTTTATATTGAAATGTTTTATTATTTAGGAGCTGTCAATGTCTCCTAAAGAAGACCAGATAGACAGGAGTAGACTTGAAGATTTGATGAAACAACGCTTTTTCTATGACCAGTCCTTCTCTATTTATGGAGGTAACAAAAAAACATAACTTTATACTATTTGTCAAAGTCTTGTTTTGAGTGAATCTATTTTACCATTTATATCAAAATGATAAATTATAGTACAATATAGTTTAAAAACCTATAATGCTGAATTCAATTAAAATTACATAACATGAGACTTTAGGCCAAGTAAACTTTATTTTTGAAAGAAATCAGCTGGTTTCTGTAAATTGTGAATTTTTATGAAATAATGCGAATGTGAATTTCTTGCTCCAGGTGTCAATGGTCTGTATGACTTTGGTCCAATGGGCTGTGCAATGAAAGCTAACTTAATAAATGAGTGGCGCAAGTTCTTCATCCTGGAAGAACATATGTTGGAAGTAGACTGCTCCATGCTAACTCCAGAACCTGTACTTAAGTAAGTTTGCTACTTGATGTACATGCACATGAATTAATTAAGTACTGTAGAATTCTAGATATGTCAAATTCATATGAAGAAAACCATGTCTCTATGAACAATCAGTATATTCTAACTTATTCCATAGTTAGCATGATATTCATAGGATAACATGTCAAAATAAAAACGGTATTTTTGTAATCAGTGGTAAAATATGATATTTTTGACAAATTTTCACTTAACCATAGCATACAGTGTTTTAGCCATGACATACGGCGCCGTATGCTATGAATAATGGAGTTTTGCTACTTCAGACTCAAAACGAGGCTAAGTGTCAATATCACCGGATCGTTTGGAAAATTCATTTTAAATCACTTAATTTCCAACGATTCTGATGATGACTCTAACTATGGAATAAAAGGAACATCCTATGATTTACTTGTGATATGATTTTAATCCACTCATGGATATTGATATCTGCATATCATATCCATTCGTGGATAAAAATCATATCACTCATAAATCATAGGATATCCTCTATATATCGCCATATGCTATTTAATTTAGTTAACAATATCCTCACAAATTATTAATCCATATCTCCAAAGAGTCTTCATAAAAAATCAACCCATATCCCATAAACATCAAGCCCTATTCTCATAACCATTTAAGCAGCTCGTTAATTGTCACCTACTTGATTGTTTACCAAATACTAAATCATGTTTTTCATGTTTTAGAGCCTCTGGTCATGTGGATAGATTCTCCGATTTCATGGTGAAAGATCTCAAAAATGGAGAATGCTTTAGAGCTGACCATCTCATAGAAGGTAATAAGTTGAGTATTATAGAACATTGATTATGAGAAGTTTTTCACTGTTTGGCTCAGAGATTTCAAAAAGCAAAAATTCCCTATTGAGAGTCCATCATGAGTGCTCAGGGATGTTCATATGAAATACCCAGCCATGCCTTAAATGCCATTCATGGGCCTGTTATGAATTGAAGTTCTGGAACTCAACATTCTTGTAAATGAAAATGTGTGTAGCAGAATAATATGCACTTTTCATGAGTGGCTAGATTCAGGCATAATCAAGATTAGAGTTTCACTGTTCAAAGTTATCTAACAATTTACTGAGGCTACCTTGGTAATGGCCATGATCTATAATAATTGTAAAAACATGGTTTACATATAAATGGATGTGTACAATTTGTTCAGTTAACCTCTCGATCAGTCAATGTATTGATGTGTATAATTGTATTTCAGCTCAGTTTGAGAAACTCTTGGCAGATAAGAAGGTCCCAGAAGAAACTAAAGAAGTCATCAGAAACACTCTTCCTCAGGTAAGTCAATCTAGCAAGTCAGTTTATTTTGTAATTTGATCTTTGAATAATGTGATATCATATGGTTTTTCCTAACTATGCTATGTGACGTCCGTGTGTTGGTCAAAAAGGAAGCACTTTTTACCATGAACAATATTCTTGTATCAACTTATCTTATTTAAGATACCTATATACCTTCATTTCAAACCTTCCATAATTAAGCATTGTGGTAAGGAATTCCAATTACCATTATTACATATTTTCAATTTATCTCTAACAAATGGTGTTTTTCCTGACAAATTAAAAATTGCGAAGATAATACCAATTCATAAAAAGGAGGACAAACAGCTTTTTAATAATTATAGACCTATATCGATTTTACCAGTCTTCTCAAAATTACTTGAGAAACTTATGCACCATCGACTGACCTCTTTTCTTGATAAAATAGAAATAATGTATCTTTATCAATTTGGCTTTCGGGAAAAAAAATCAACATTCATGGCAGTACTTACATTTGTTGAAAAAATCAGAAATTCTATAGACAAAGGTGAATTCTCTATTGGTGTATTTCTTGACTTTTCTAAAGCTTTTGATACTATTGACCATAATATCCTCTTTCAAAAACTCGATTTCTATGGGATACGAGGAGTAGCGCTGGAATGGGTTAAAAGTTACTTTTCTAATAGAATTCAAAAAACTTGTTATATAGACACTATTTCAGATCCCGAGTCAATCACATGTGGAATTCCTCAGGGCTCTGTGCTAGGTCCCTTGTTTTTTATCATATACATCAATGACATCTACCTATCTTCTCCTCGACTATTTTTTGTACTATTTGCAGATGATACGAATCTGTTAATACAAGGTAAAAATCTTAATGATATTACCAATGCTTTGAATGCTGAATTGAAACTAATTGAGGAATGGATAGCCACAAATAAACTTTCGTTAAATGCAAAGAAAACTAAATATATCATATTTTCTTCTAGACAAAAGCAATATAATAAAAATGATATATCAGTCATTGTGAATAATAAAATACTTGAGCAAGTGACACATATAAACTTTATAGGAATTATAATTGATCAGAATCTTACCTGGAAGAATCACATTACAGCAGTAAACATGAAAATATCAAGAACCATTGGTATATTATACAAAGTTAAACATTTATTGAATGCCAAAAGCTTACTTAGTATATATTACTCTCTAATCTACTCATATCTTATTTATGGAAATATAATCTGGGGCGAAGCAGGCTGTACATTGCTTAATACTCTTCATCGTTCTCAGAAACAATTTGTAAGAATTGCAACAAATAGCGACTTTAGAGCTCACTCTTTACCTCTTTTTCATGATCTAAAAATCCTGAACATATTTCAGATAAATAAGCAACAAAGATATATATTCATGTTTAAATGGATCAATGACAAGGATAATTACAAACAAATATTTCCAGATTTCTTCCAAACAGTTGAAAATAGACATAATTATGATACAAGAAACAAGAAAACTTTCGACAAACCAAAAATTCGTACAAACTATGGAAAATCAATGCTATCTTATTCGATACCTGATATTTGGAACCAATTACCCCCACATTTTAAATCTATCAGAAGCATCATACTCATGAAAAAACAGACAAAAAAATATTTATTACAACTTTAATTCTATTTAGGGGCACTTTGATGGCACAAATTTTATATATATATATATATTATTTAAGACATGCAATGGCAGATCCCCGCCTCTCTAACATACTTTGTAAATTTACTCCATCTTGGGAATATACACAAACCCTTGTGTCACCCACTCATTGTATATGTATATTGTATGTGTTTTGTGAAATAAACAAATTGAAATTGAAAAATTGAAATTAAACAAATTGAAATACCTTATCACTATAGACGATACATTGAAAGGGATTTTATGAATTCTATATGCCTTAACTAATAGATGTGTCAAGTTGATAGATATATATTTGAGTCTTTTAATCACAGCTTTGATGTCCTCATGGTACTACAAAGCGCAAAGACTTTTAAGAGAATCTGTTTTTTCAGGTGGATGGCATGAGCAAAGACGAAATGCAGCAAGAAATTCGTAAATATAACATGAAATCACCCATAACACAAAATGAACTCTCAGACCCAATAGAATTTAACCTTATGTTTGGTACTTCAATTGGGCCTGCTGGTAACATCAAAGGCTTTCTGAGACCAGAGACAGCACAGGGTATATTTGTGAACTTCAAACGTTTACTTGAGTTCAACCAAGGGAAGTTGCCTTTTGCTGGTGCTCAGATTGGCTGTTCATTCAGAAATGAAATCTCACCTAGATCTGGGTTAATTAGAGTCAGGTATGTTTTACACAGTATACATTAGCGCTAGCATACTTGTATCCTTTCCCATTGAATTACTGTGGAGACATATTTCAAATAGACTCCTGATAAGAAATTCATAAGTATTTATATGAATTATGTAGATTTGAGCACATCTCAATGAAATCATTAAAACTGGCTGCACTAAAATTTAACCTGTAAATTGGAACACCTCTGTAAGTGGAACAATGCACTTCAGTCCCATGATCAGCTGGCTTTAATGAACCTTTGCCCTGTAATTAGAATACTAAGTGGAACACTTTTAAAGGTGTTAAAGGTGTTCCACTTACAACAGGTTTTGTTGTGCTGTGTTATTGTGAAGAATGTGCATTGATTTTGAATGCTATTACACACTGGTCTTTAAATTGATATGTTGTTTAAATTAGGGAGTTTACACAAGCAGAAATTGAACATTTCTGTGACCCCACTGACAAGAGCCATCCCAAGTTTGACAGCATTAAGGACTTACCAGTTCCCCTGTACTCTGCATGTAACCAAATGGATGGTAAGCCACTCCAACTCATCACTATGGGGGAAGCTGTTGAAAGAGTAAGTGACACTTTGTATTCTGTAACCTGCTCTTAAAATAAGAATTTAAAATTGAAAATGATTTGAATGCACAATTCAGAGGTATTGATTGAAACCAGTATTTTTTCAATATTGATTTCTAATTCCTTTTATACTTGTTTGCAGAGATTGGTAGCGAATCAGACTCTTGGTTACTTTATGGCCAGGATCTATCTATTTATGACAAAGTGCGGTGTTGATCCAAAGAGATTCCGCTTCCGACAACACATGAACAACGAGATGGCTCATTATGCATGTGACTGCTGGGATGCAGAGACTAAGGTACTTTTGACATTAAAGTTGCATTTTGCACTTCACTATATATACCCGGATCTGATTAAATAGAGCACGGTCAAGGTCGTGCATTTATGAAGAATTAGAGAACGTTCTATATTGGCTATGCTACATTCTGATTGGTTGAGAAATTCAATTAGAGCATGGTCATGTTTGAGTAAAAAATAAAACATATCATGAGAGGCAAGACTTTTTTGTACACTATGAACTTTCATCCAAGGAGTTATTATTGTCTGTCCCTTGATGTTTCTGGAGAATTTCTGACAGCAAGAAAAACAAATTAAAATGACAGGCAAATTTTGAGAAATTATAATTTCAACATGGATACCTGGAAACCCTGCCCTTCAGGCTCTCTTTATCATATTGTTACTTGTAGACATCGTATGGCTGGGTGGAGTGTGTTGGCTGTGCTGACAGATCGTGCTATGATCTCACACAACATGCAAATGCTACTGGCGTCAGATTGTGTGCAGAGAAAAAACTTCCAGAACCAGTATCCTTGAATGAAAAATCGGTGTCAAATCAATACATTCAGAAATACATTCTCCGTCTGTCACAGCCACATTCACTGTGTTTGTCATCTTATGTTCAGTAGGAAAATATTAAATACAAACCATTCAGGTGTTTAAGCCTAGGCTGTCTTGAAACCCAAGCTAATGATGTAAAAAGTGCACATTCTTTTACATAGTACTATATTATCAAGTCCTTAACTAATATTAGAAAGTCATTGATGTTGTTGAATGTGTGACTAACAAGGGCTTGGTCGGCAAGGCGTTCAAAAAAGAGGCAAAGGCAGTCACTGAATACTTATCCAAGTTAAATGAAGCAGAAGTGAACAGTCTTGAAAAAGATCTCACAGCTAGTGGGTAAGTATTAGTAAGCATATCCATAGTGTATAAAGTTCTCTTGCTTTAATAACATTACTAAAGTTGTAATAAAGTTCAGTTAATAGTTACCTTCTAACCATGGACATTTTTTATTTATTATTTATTTTTTTTATATTCAACATTTATTTCAACATAACATATTTACAAAACAAAAACATTCAAAAGCATACAAAAATACATGCAATTTCTACAAATACATAGAACAATATATGGAAGTTATGATGTTATAGAATTACTGGGGAAAGCTTAACTTTCAGAAAGCTACTGGTAATGATTGCTTATAAATTGTTAACATTTTCAGTTTTTAGTGCAGCATCCACTTGCATCAATGTACATATTCATTTTGATCTTCAGTATTTTGAATAATTCATAATTGCTTATTTTTATCACTCTGTGTGAAACTGTTTATGGTCATGGATCAATGTTTTATTTTACATAACATATTTTTTCTATTAAAGATGCTTTGTACAACTGCTTTATTTATTTAAAGGCCCTGTGTAAAGTTTAAACCATTATGGTTTGTATTGTTGTCTTATACCCAATGTTGAAAATGATGAATGAAACTTTTTTCATTTCGAAAATTGTTTTTGAGGGAGTTTTTGGTTGAAGAATTGTGAATTTATTTGAAGTATTCAATTGTCAATACTTTACACAAAGATTGGTTGATAAAGAAGACAAATTAATTGTCAAGCACAGGAAAATGGTGAAAATGTCTAAAACAATTTTTTGAATCACAACAAATAATATACTAGTATTATGCACACTCACTATCATGTTACAAAATAGAGAGATTATTTAAAAAGAAATGTTGCATTCCAGTGAGTCAGCTCTAACAATTGAAGACAAGTCTTACACAATCACCAAGGAGATGGTCACTGTGAAACGCTACGAGAAGAAAGTCCATGGTAAGGAAAAATTGAATTCATAATGTATTTGTAAAATGATAAGTGATATATATATACAAGTATATATGTGTTTTACAGTGTTATACAGTGTACCTGCTTTGAAAACTACATTTGTTCACAAACTTACAGATTGCAAGGGTGGTATATGGATTTATCACATACTATGTAGAAATCTAGTGCTTTGATTGGTTGCTTTCTATGACGTATTTCCCGTATCACATAAATTTCATATGATATAAGCACACGTACCACACGTTGTCTATGGTAAGGAAATGACGTCATACAACTTCATTCTATTCTTTCCTAATTCAAAATGACGTCATATATAGGCTATGTTACTATTTCTTAGAAATGATGAATTCGTCATTTGAGGAACTAGAAGTTAGAACGACAAAGAAAAATATCGATCAAATCACTAGATTTCTACATAGTACAGGGTGTCCAATAAATAAGATGAAAGATATTGTAACTTTCTTAATATTGTACCAATCTTGATGAAATTTTCAGAGTTTGTAGCCCAAACCTTTTTACCTTTATTCTGTGAATTTAAAGCGTCTTCTATTTGATTGGCTAGAGTTGTGGTTGCTATAGCAACCGAAACAACAAAAAGGCGGGGCAAGTTTGTTTACGTCACAACTTTCCAAAACATATTTATTCTTTCTGATTGCTTTATTCATACTCCCAGGTCTATTTCTACCACAAATACAATATTAAAACAGTCCTAAAGTCCCATTGTTATGAAAATAAGCTATTCAACATAATGTCCATCTCTAGCTATACACTTCTTATGCCCATTTACTCACTCTATAAACACACTTTCAAACCCATTCTTGCCCATTTCTGAAGTCTTGCTAAGACTTGTGATCTGAGTTCTCACACAGCTATGCTCACCAGTGAAACTATCAGGGCACTGGGGCTACCCCTACTTGCACACCCTCCATATTCCCCAGACCTTGCGCCCAATGACTTTTACTTATATGCAGAACTCAAGCGTGACTTGAGAGGAAATAAATTTGGAAGCACTGATGAACTCAGATCACATGTCTTAGTAAGACTTCAGGAAATGGGCAAGAATTGGTTTGAAAGTGTGTTTAGAGAGTGAGTGAATGGGCATAAGAAGTGTATAGCTAGAGATGGACATTGTGTTGAATAGCTTATTTTCATAACAATGGGACTTTAGGACTGTTTTAACATTGTATTTGTGGTAGTAATAGACCTGGGAGTATGAATAAAGCTATCAGAAAGAATAAAAAGAATAAATATGTTTGGGAAAGTTGTGATGTAAACAAACTTGCCCCGCCTTTTTGTTGTTTCGGTTGCTATAGCAACCACAACTCTGGCAAATCAAATAGAAGACGCTTTAAATTCACAGAATAAAGGTAAAAAGGTTGGGGCTACAGACTCTGAAAATTTCTTCAAGATTGGTGCAATATTAAGAAAGTTACAATATATTTCACCTTATTTATTGGACACCCTATATGTGATAAAATCGTCATCACACGTTTCAGCGTATGAGATACGGGAAATATTCCACTCAGTAAAAAAGTATCACCACTCAAGCTGCGCTTTCATGGTCATACAATTTTTACTTTCGTGGAATATTTCCCGTATCGCATGCTGAAACGTGTAATAACTGATAGTGTTGCCTCGGGAAAATATTGAATATTATATTACTCTGTAAGCCTTTATAATGCCTCCCTCTCACCATCCAGTATTTCTAGTATCATCATTTAGTATAGATGAATGGAGAAACACTTCAACCATTGTTTCATGATCTTATTGTTTTATTTGTTATTGTAGTCGAGGAGATAGTGCCAGGTGTCATTGAACCCTCATTTGGGATAGGTAGAATCATGTACAGTATATTTGAGCACAACTTTAAGACAAGACCAGGGGATGAACAAAGAACGGTAAGTTTGACTTATTTGTAGCTCTTAGATATGAATATAAAGACAGATACATGTACATGGTTTCTCCATATTTCTATGGATTTCGTCCTTTTTAAGATGTCTCAATCTGTTGTTACTTCTCTTTGTTCATGAGTCTTATCTGATTTTAGTTCTTCAGTTGCAGCTTAATGTGTTGATATTAGATTCGTTTAATATTGTTCATAATATTCTTTGTTTAATCAGTCGCATTTTGATTTTTCTGATACATATAGTTGCATATCTTTACTTACACATGTATATCAAACGTTGTATTTAATTACATATCTGGTGCTTTGTTTCAGTATATCTCGTTGCCTCCAGTCATAGCTCCATACAAATGTAGTGTGCTACCTCTCAGTAACAACGCAGATTTCCAACCATTTGTGCAACAGATATGTGAGTATAATGTCGTCATAGATCTGAGTTATTATATCTCACTCAGTGTGCAGGGTGATTGTTGGCCCAGAGGCTTTATAATTGTCAGTTTGTTTTAAATCTGGACTAACTGAATTATAAGAATGATTAAGATATCCCAACCCATCTTTATTCAATTTTGATTGGCAGATACCAAATCCTCATGACACACCCTGACTTCAACCCCTGATTGTTATTATGGTTGACTGTTAAAATTATTTTTAACAGAGAGGTCAACAGGATATTGTATCTCCAGAACAAGAAAGGAATGTAGTTGACTGCTTGTGAAAAATAATTTCATTACATAAATCCATAAAACATTTTAATTTCATAAATTCATTAAAAAAGTCCAATGACATTCTCTCAAAAGAAAGATTGAAGTTCAAAACTTGGGGGTATGCTCCTTGAAATTGTAGAAACACTAGAAGTTTCTAGTTTCGGTGTTGTAACCATGAAAATGAATAAAAGAATGTCATATAGGGAAAGTTGGAGAAGTTGAGACCTTAAAAATTTGAAAGTTAAAAAGCCTCTTCCAGAACTGGCCAAGAAAGTCAAATGATTTTATGTCTAATGACCATTACATATGTGCACTTTCATGTTGTTTGAATATGTGCACTTGTATTTTATTTATGATCTACAGTATATACATGTATCTGACATATTTTCCAGCCACTGCTCTGAGAAATGTTGACGTGTCTCACAAAGTTGATGACAGCAGTGGATCAATTGGCAGACGATACGCAAGAACGGACCAGATTGCAATCCCATTTGGCGTAACAGTAGACTTCGACACAGTGAAGTCTGACCCTCCTACTGTCACACTGAGGGAGAGAGACAGCTGTCAACAAGTCAGAGCTCCTGTAAGCAAAACATGATTATCATTTTATATACAAAAATAAGAGTAATATAGTTATGAACAAATGAGTATGAATGTTCATGGTAATAACCCTTCATCAATTTTCATATCTACATGTTGCCTGCATGTCAAGGAACATTTCCATTAATCCATAAAGACAATATATTTAATGCTTCAGTTTGGAACATTTGATTTCAAAGTTAAACAATTTCAGTTTTGGTCTGGAACGTTTGAAAACTGAAATCCCAGAGTTTGTTCAAAAAGGGAAAAATGTTCAGGATTTTTTTGGGGAAAAGTAGAATATTGAAAAAACAATAACATCATCTTGAGCCTTCATAGAACTCAGTGGTCATGGTGTTTAATATCCAGTTGTCATGGCGTTTTGAAGGTTTACTTTGGTAACCAATTTTGGAATGGTTTTACACATATCAGTTTGGGAACAGAACATTGCTAACTCTGGTAACCACTAACCATGTACCCTTAATAAAAATAACTGATCCCCTCACATTTGTTGTGTTTTCAGATATCTGAGCTTCCTGATATTATCAAAGATCTGTCCAATCACAAAATAGAATGGAGTGACGTCACTGCAAAATATCCACTATTTGAACAACAAGAAAATAAATAGACTAATTTTTAAGACTATCTATATATTATTGCCAACATATTAAATGACACTGCAATATCATATATCACCTATATAGACATTGAGGTATATTGTTGATCGAATCATTGTCTAAGATATTATACAAGAAACTATCTTTTGGGATAAACCTGTTGTATATGTTCATTCTCTGTATATCTAATGCTGTTATATGGTCATTTGGTCATCCTTAACATTTGATTGGATGTTATGTTATTGAATGAGGGAAACAATTGAATGCACTCCAGTGAAAAAGTCGATTTTTACAGAGTGATTTATTTATTTGCATTTATGTCTTCATTTATGAATACAGAACATTTTTAATGATGTTAAACTTAAATGCACAACTGTATTTGTTCTTGATTTGATGCCTGCTTTAATTTTGGCATATTGCTAAATTAATCTTCATATGAATTCCAAGAAATAAAACTAATAATGTAATACTGGTACTGTAATTATGTTACAAATTGAAAGTCAATATACAGTTCTTTGTATCATTTCTGCTGTTATCAGATACTGATGTCTAAACGTTACAAACGGCTTAGGGACAACTCATCCCTGAACAACTCATCCCCTAGACAACTCATCCCCTTGACAACCAACAACTCATCCCCTAGACAACTCATCCCCTTGACAACTCATCCCTGAACAACTCATCCCCTAGACAACTCATCCCCTTGACAACCAACAACTCATCCCCTTGACAACCAACAACTCATCCCCTGGACAACTAATTCTTTATCATATGAAGCTAAATTGTAAAGTGTGTCTGGACTTGAAAAGATATATTAAATAGATACAACTTGAATCATTCAAAATATTATTCTTCACTTTATTGACACAAAATTATGAAAGTACTTATTTGACATCAGTCAAACTCTCATCTTTCATCCTAAATTACATGACTCAATATTTCATACAAAAAAGTTTTCTTTTTGAATAACTTGGAAACAAATACTTTAAGCATGGCACATTGTTTAATAGTCTAATAAAAACTTTAGGGAGTAGTCGGCCATTTTGAAAAATGGCCACCATTTTTATGTGTGTTATTTTACAAGTATGTGTGCGATTTTTCAAAAATTTTAGAGGTGGCTACTTAAAAGCATATTATTTCTTCTGATGACAACTTGGCTAGTGATCAACCATTTTGAAAATGGTGGCCTTTCTGGTGTGTTGTTTTATGATATTTGCGCTTCGTTTGTAAAGATGCCAGCCATTTCTGTTCGATGGGATTCGCTACGCTTTGGCGTTGCCGTTGTTCTGGTTGCAAAATTATGTACATGTAATAGTTCATTTTAAGTGATTTAAAAATATTTTTTATTTCCTGCCAAAAATAAATAGGATGATCAAAATATTGAATTGCTGTTGTAACGTTGTTATGAACGTTTCATAAATTGAAAAATAAACTACAGTTGGCCTTCTATTATGTACATTGCAAGTTAAATTAATAAAGTACATATGGACCTGTATTTATTGAAATTGAAATATGGTGTACATGAATACTGTTTGCTTCTTATTGGGAAGAGTTTACAAGATGATAGCGATCAAAGAATAACATTAAATCATTTATTGACATTAAAAGGCAGAAGTTATATCATTGTTTAACAAGTTGAATAAAATATTATAAGTTGAATTATATTACATTGGCTGAGAAGGTATCTAATTGAACTTAATACACAGAATTTTAACATTTGAATTTAGGAGTTTATTTCTAGAAAGGGGTTATATTTTGGTTATATCCCGAGTGATATTTTCTCAAGGGATCAAGGATAACCAAATATAATTCCCTTATTTACTATAATCATTCGTAACATTCAGAATACAAAAAATAGAGATAAAAACATAATACAAATTAATTTAATTGATATCAGTTGTGAATACTGAAAAAGTAGCAGAGTTCTTTGTAAAATTTCCATCATTGCGATTTATGCCTTCCACATTTCATCTACACTGAAAGCATAATGGAAAACAAATCTTTAATATAATCATTGACATTATACAATATATTGATTAAACCAATATTTCAACTAAACTTTTGACCATATTCAGTGGACCCTACTATCCGTCACCACACAAGCCTGGCCTATTAAAAGAATAACCTGGAGATGTTACATAATATATTTAACTTGTTACATGTTACATAATTATATTAACCTGATTTGACTCAGTGAATGATGGAATGAAATCAAAAGAAAATTGATATGGTTCCTCGCCAACATAACTGAGCTAGCTATGCACGAATATCATTCAAACCAGTTTGACAAACAAATCCAAATACCTTAAATTATAATGAGCGGTTGTCTACTGTGAATAAATGAAAATTTTCCAAAATCAACATTAAAGTATGTACAAGATAAAGCCCATAACTTTGATTTTCACTTTATAAAACTACAATAATACAAATCTAAGTTACATTTATTTCAAAATATACACCAAATCACCTCAATCTAGATTTAGATATGCAATTAAACATGATATTATGTCACTTTAGCCTATATAGAATTAAAAATTAAATCTACATCGTCTTTGTCGTATCCCAAAAGGCCACCCTCGTGGACAAATAGTTAAATAACCTAGGAATAACTTATTTGGCAAATAATGGAATTCAGGGGATCTATCTAACAAATGGTAGGTGGTGACATTTTGCATGTTAATGCCTTGTTAACAAATAGATAAGAGCGTTTCTGCATCGTATATGCACTGTCCCATTCAAATGATTTTGCAATACAATTTCTAGAATGACATATGCAAAGATTATACATGTTATAAGATCACTATTAAAATGTCTAAAGTATAAAGGTCTAATAGAGGTCGAAACATTGTAGATTATTGGAATAGGCAAGTTAATTTTTGATAATCTGTTAAGCTCCGGATAATCCACCCGTTTGTATAATTATGACATTAAAGTGTAATGTTAGCTGTGCTAGACTAATATATATTATTGGTATTATCATAACTAAACACAGTAAAGCCATGCTATATCAGACGACTAAACATGGGTAGTAAGAGAAATTTCAATAAGTTAAACTTTTGAAATATATGTTTAAAAACTTCGATGGAAATTAACATAGAGTTGATCGCTTTTGGTTGTAGAATTTTGATTCAAGGGTATTTTTCACATGTTGTAGAACAGAATATTTTGGTTACATTTCCGTCCGGGATTTCCGTTTTAATTCGATTTTAGCGAATTCGTTTTCCTAAAAATTCTCAGTATTCACAATTACGTTTTCACCCGTCTAAAAGTGAATGTTGTCTTCGTGTTTCATTACTCATTGCCTTGATTCCTATGGATTTGCAACTTATTGATTCATTTGAAATTTTCCTTAATAATTTTCAACCATGGCATTCGATATCTGAAAAATATTTTAGAGCCAAGCAGATTCACCAAATTAGATGAAACCGCTGTAATAACTTTTGTAACCCTTTGCAGGTGGTGACATTTTGTCATGGTAATGCCTTGTTTATTTTGTCACCACCAGAAGTGGTGACATATTGTTATAGTCTGAAACTGTTTTGTTGACCGTGTTCGGGCGGTCGGCGTTCGGCGTCTGTAACAAATTCTTACTTCCAATAGCTTAATATGACTAGACTGACTTCAAAGTTTTACTGCACGTTACCATGGCAACAAATAAGTAGACTTGTAAGAAGTAGTGTAACAAGTACTGTACTGTACTGTTTCCATGGCAACTATGATAGCAACAAATACGTGGACTTACAACAATTTTTATTGTCAACACATATAGACATGTTGCGATTTTTAATACGTTTTGGCAGTTTCAGTTATCATAGCAATGGACATTTGTTACCATAGACACAGATTATTGTCTTAAAACATTTCTTACATACTATAACTTAAAAATGCATAATCACAATGACTTGAAATGTTACCATGGCAACAAATGAACTTGTCACAACAGTTGACAACTGTAACAGTTATAACACTAAAGTAACCATATGCATTCAAGTTGTGAAATTTTTGAAGAAGTTGAACTTGTTCTTTTGCCCAAAATTTTACAACACAATTTATAAATGATTATCGATGAGCTATTTATCATATTCAATTATCTTGGGTTTTACTATCAATGATATATTTGTAACTAGATCTTGGTATCATTATTTAGTTACCAAACTCTCACGAGCTCCTTTTAAATGGCATAAAGCTTTTGGGAATATTGCCTCTTTGAGAATATTGCCTCTCGTTATGCATGTTAGTTTACTCAGCTACTACCGGTATACTACCTAACCTATTTTCGTAATGATAATATTATCACCATGTCTATGAAGGTATTCATAATATCAGATTCTATATAATTTGTAATATTATGTTTACGCGGACGAGTGTGAATGGAGCCGTCAATTAGAATAACATAATACGACACGACCTTTTTCAAGAGAACCGGTTTATGTGTAATCTATATATTATGTACCCAAAGTTGTGTTCTAACAATGCAAAGTCACATGTTTACAATGATCTTGTATAGTTTTCTTTGTCGATGTTAACAGATCCTGTTTCAAAGGGTGGAGTGGCGGTCAGGTGGTTGAATGTAGCAGAATACTACAATGGAAACAATATGTGTCATGTGTCATATTTAAGTGTCGCTAATGACACATTAGAGTACTATGAACTGATGAGTAACGGTATATGATACAGCAACACCCTTATGATTAACATAAATAGCTTTCTCCAGAGAAAAAACACGCACTTATAAATTATTTATTCGGATCAAGAGTCACTTTCTTCATTACTCTGATTTGTGGCTTAGGGATATAAAAGCGTCCCTAATTTACCTAGTAAAACCTAACGATCGCGTGGAAAACAGATGTATTGACGATGTCCATTTAAATATATCATACCTCCGAGCAAACCTGGCGCAACCGATGTGAACTATCAGACTAAAACTGGGCTTTTGTTAAACTAAACCCCGAGTGCGTTGAATGGTCTTGGCAAGGCATAAATAAAACGGTAGACAGTTATTCAGGAGGTACGTTTGAGCGTACAGTTTAATACAGCCTAGACCAAGTGGGTGGGGGCGTTGACAGGATATCAGCTGCGAATTGGAGAAATATTGGCTCCAGCACCGTGAAGGATTACAAAGGCGAAAGTACAGAAAGGAGAACGCCGTGATTGGGCACAACTCTACCTCTAGTGGCATTATACAAAAGTAAGTACGATATACTTTTATAACTTTTGTCTATCAAGTTAGATTCAATTTTATGTTTTTGAAGATATGCCTATGCATATATCGCATGTACAACTGATTGAAATTAATAATGCATACTTAATTGCAATTATAATCAATTCTTTAATCGATTGTCCAAAATCGGGACGTTGGCTAGCGGGCATAGATAAACTGTGACCTTTATAGTTTTTTATTCCTATCATTAAGTTAATTAAACTAGATTGAAAATTGAAATGGCAAACGTGATCCTAGTTCATGAATGACATTTTCATACACACGCAAACTATTGGCTATGTCTGGGTGATCAGTTGATCTTCATATCTAAGTATTTCAGTTTTCAATTAGGCAATGGATTCTAAGTATATCATGGGCTTTCAATGGGGACCCATGGTATTGAGTATATTGTACCTAATGACATGCTAACTGTTTATCCCAACAACCCGGTCCAAACCGTTAACCGCATCTCACCATAGCGTGCTACCCCGCGTATGACACGCCTTTGTACAGGGGACATTCTATTCAGGCCAAGATATATCTGTTTAATATTGAATGTATACACTAACAATAATGAAAACTGATTGGTATCAACTGCTCAAAGAAATCATTTTATCTTGTAGACATTGACACGATAATGTTGAACAATTGTATTTGAAAAACAACTTTTATTAAACATATTTTGAGAATCTCTGGCCGGTAATTAGTCCATCCATTACTAGGATCTGGAAAAACATAAAATGTACTTTACAAAATATTTTATTTCAATTTAGTCTCGTTCTTTGATTAGTTTATATGTTTGATCAAAATCATGTTTTTAAACACAATAGGTATGTTACGACTTGGTTCCATTCATATTCTCAGATATGTGATATATTTTGGGGAGTCCATTGATTTCAACCTCTTAAATGAGTACTGACTAGTCATAGAGTAAACATCATTAAACTTATAAAAAAGACAGACTGCAATTAATGTAAAAAGGATCACCACACCCTCTTGTGTCTCGAAGTCTTCAAAGATCAAGAGATCTCCTATATACAGCTATTTAATCTCACTTTTGATCTCCGTACCAAATTACCCCTGATTCTTCCGTGTATCACATTCATCGAGGTATATTCTAGAATACAGGTGTATTGAAATAGGATATATATTTGGCTTTTATTTGTTCTGATACTTTGCCAATCATTTTCGGTCGAGGCGTTCTTCGCTATTCCAATAATCCAATAACATTCAATGACAAGAAAAATGTAGGCATAGACTGTTGAGCAGGTTATTTACCCTGGAGTGCTGTATTTGTTGATTTATACGTTTTTGGGAAAGTTTAATAATGGATGACTGTTCTTCATAGTAGTTTTTTAGTAAGGAAGTAAACATAGATTTAACTATTCAAGTCCTTTCCCATTGATTTTTCTAGACTAGTCATTATAAACATCACCTTAATCATCATAATATAACACGTTCATATAAGTGAATATAAAAGGACTGTGACAAAAGGACACTGGTTACAACACGATTTTCGACTGCGAACACCGAGGATTAGTGAGTCTACTATGAGGGCCTTTTTATGTTTTTGTATTTGACCAAATGCAAATATTAGACCTAATTTTTAAACCGAATTGCGGCATTATATACTTTATTGTTTTGTCTAACTCACATTGTTCTCTCATCTAAGACCTGCCTGTATATCATCTTTTAATATTCTACATCGTACTTTTTCGTCTGAAGTTTCTTTCAAAGCGTTTTCGAACTTCTAAAATATCTGTATCACCTTCAAGGTCATTTTTGTAATTTTCAGGTTGCCGTATACTATTTTTATGACTTAAAAGAAGTAATCATTTTTTGAAAAGGTGAGTTTGAAAAAAAGTTGGCAGTGATTCAGTGCCTATATATAGTTTAAACCACTTTGGTATGAAATCTATAGTATTACTATCGTTATCAAAACATCAATTCAATGCATCAATGCATGTTATTCATCCTCTCGTATTTTTGTCGAAAAATAAGAAAATTGGTTGATAATGTTACGCGGTAAACACGATACAAAAATATGTCATATTCCGCAACGAATATGGCATATTCACTTGCGGTGTATGACAGATTCACCTGCGGTATAAGGCATACATACTAACCAATGAGAACGCGATACGGAAGTACGCAATTGAATTACATCGATTGAACGAACAAGTAAAACGTTATAAATTATTATAATGATTACTGAATCAACAGTACTGTGAATCGAATATATTAACTTAGCAGAAGTATCAGTCACCAATCTCGCGTAATAAACTTTCTCAATCAAACCAGGATTCATATATTAATACTCGACGCACTGACTATATTGGTAATCCAGCGTAGTTTTACATTTAGAGTCGATTTTCGCAACCAATCAAATCAAGGCTTTCTGTATCACGTTTTCACCTGCGGTATATGTCATATTCACCTGCGGTATATGGCATATTCCGCAAGTGAGTATGACATATTCTGCAGGTGAGTATCGGGTATTCACTGAAATCAATGTATCACATATTCACTGCGGAATATCGCATACTCACCTGCGGAATATGCCATATACCGCAGGTGAGTATGGCATATTCACCCGTATCACGAATACCGCGCAACCATGAATGTATGCCATATACCGCGTAACAGATAGATAATCGAGAAATGAACTCTCACATGCAAATTAAGATTTTTGCTCTCATAGAAACCAAGGGTATCTACTAATATTCAAAATATAATTGTATTCTTCTTTTCAACCCAGAGGTAATCAACATTGGTTTATTTTGAAAGTTTAGCACATGGAGATACGATTGACAATAGTACATGAATGATAAAAACATATTTTCATGGGACCTTTACACTGTAGTAAATTGTTAAATAGTCGACCGAACAAGGAAACTGAAAAGTGAAACTTTACATTAGTAAAAGAAAGCAGTAAAAGCGACATTATTCGAACCATTTATTTTAGTGACTTTATTCAAAGCATTCATTTACTGTTCTATGATGTTACGCATAAGAAGCCTGATATCATCGTGATTTCATGAAGGTACACGTAGCACAACGTTTTGCAGATATAATACTCGGGTACCAACAGGACCTCATGATACAGTGAGTTTACTTGGCGGTGTCATAACTTTCATGAAATGCCCATGCCATAACCTAACACGAAGAAGTGAGACGGTTTTTGTGACAGACATTTGGTGTTCCGGTTTTTGGCGATTTCGAAAGTGAGCGTTAGCAACAAATTGTTGCATTTCCATTATCACAATCAAATGGATGCATTCGTTGTTGTTTTTCATAGGTTGGTTATTGAAAAATATTTGTAAATTATTTACTCTTGTGAGTTTGAAACATTTTATATGTGTGCATGCTGTTTTTTCAAATTCATACAGGTTTGTTCAAAGGGGTATGTAAAGTTACTAGTGTAGAATCATTTTCCTGCATTTATGCTTTGATAATGGTTGAGATTTCACTGAATTAATTTGGGATTTGATTGGCGCCTGTGATTAGAAAGGTAGTAAAATTTAAGTTTGAAAATTCGCCATACTCAGATTTGAGAGATCCTTAATATCGAATCAAATGTTATTTTATGGTCTGCTTCGGATCTTAGTTCGAATCTTTGTCAGACGGCATACGTGTTGTATATTACATAACCCAAAATATACTATACCTCAAGTATTTATGTCTTTTAATGCAAATCTAAACTCGATTGGGTAAAGAGTTTAACTCTAATAGTCGTTAAAACATTTTTTGTTTTTAAACACATTAATGGGACCCTGATGGTTAAACAAACTGTTTGCAGACATCATTCGCAAAGATTTAAGACTTATTTCTAAATAAGCGTTCTATTTACTTCACTATACACAATCACTGTATTGGTATATGCGCCTTTAAGTGAGACTGCGTGTGTTAATGAAATTGACATATTCTGAATGTTGCACCGATACCTTAATGATGTAATTGCTCATGATGAAAATTAGCGAGTGCGTGTGTTTGTGTGCTCGTTATATTTTAGGCTATCAGAGTGAAAAATGAATAGCTCGGAGTCAACCCAATGACGTAACTGATCATGATGAACCATAAATGAATACACGGCTGTTACCTTGCTAAAACTGAGGTCATGCAAAATAAGGTTAACGTTACTAACCATGCAATTTATCATTTTGAAGGGTTCTGTAGTACATACAGTATGTGTCTGCAGTGCTTATGACCATTTAGTTCGCAAGATTGACTTATTCATGTAACAAGTAGGTCAGACACCATCCAATAATCATCCATATGCCAAGATTTCATGGATGTACATTGTTAGTATAAATCTGTATGACCCTTGTGCTTTTTAGTGATTTCGTATCTTTTAGGTGATTTCGTAGAAAATATCTTGCAATGTGTGAAAAGAATTCAAAGGAGTGGTATCGATATGGGGAACTTTATGAACACACGTTTCTCTTAAACCCGTCATAAAAATCTAAAAATTTAACACATCGTCAACTTAATGGTCATCTTTTGAATGGTAAAAATATAATTTGAAAAATATATATATACTTTCATCTATATTGTTTTAGAAAACACATCAAACACTTGTTTTGTTCTTGGTATCATGTTTCAAGAGATGCAATGTGTGAAAAGAATTCAAAGGAGTGGTATCGATATGGGGAACTTTATGAACACACGTTTCTCTTAAACCCGTCATAAAAAATCTAAAAATTTAACACATCGTCAACTTAATGGTCATCTTTTGAATGGTAACAATATAATTTGAAAAATATATATATACTTTCATCTATATTGTTTTAGAAAACACATCAAACACCTGTTTTGTTCTTGGTATCATGTTTCAAGAGTGAAATGAAACATCTTTCCGAACCTCATTCGCCATACGCGTTTATGGTGAATGTCACAAGTTTGGAAACGTTGTCCATGATATTCAATAGATATAACTATACATATTTAGTGTAGATTCCATTTATAATTTCGTCAATACACCTTATATA